GGAGTTCCAGGAGCGGTTTCGTGCCTTTGCAGGCGGACATCGTCTGTGGGAGCCGTAGGAAGGGGCATGACCTTGGAACAAGGGTTTTGCTGCTCACTTATGCTGACTTCAAGAATGGAGGATGGTCGGCTGCTATCTGGGTTCCAGGGCTTAGGTGTGTCCACCTGGGCCCACAGTTGACCCTTCTGGCAGTCGATGAGGGGAGCTAGACGTTCAAGCAGGTCCTGACCAATGAGAAGTGGTTCAGTGTCTAGCTGGCAGACATAAAACGGGTGAACCAGAGTCATGTCTTGGAAGGTGATATCCAGCCACGCCCGGTGAGTGATACACTCCCGGGTCTGGGTGTAGCTGGTGATTTTCAGGTCACAAGGTTCAACCTGGACTGGTTTCCCGAGCGACCGCATGGTGTCAGACACGCGATGGAACAATGTGGAGCACATCAGGGTGATTTCTGAGCCGGTATCCAGCAGAGCATCAACCTGTATGCACCCACCTACGTTGGTGCTACAGTACAAACGGCGAGCATGATCATGGTTTGTTAAGTCACCAAGGAACTTCAGAAATTTAGCATCAGGTTTCTCTGGGGGGTAGATTTCAGGAGACTCCTGTGATCTACCAGTAGTGTTCCCCCAGCTGATCAGGTAGGTCCTGGCCACGCTGGGGGGTTGAGCCACGCCTAGTCATGCGGACGTTGGCTCTGGGTCTGGCTTCTTAGAAGACGACTTTGGTGCAAGGGTTTCTTCTGCAGATCTCAGCTGTTCCTTCTGTTTAGCTAGGAACTGCTGAAACATCTCCTGGAGGTCGGCTTTGGTCAAGTACTCACCTGCGGACTTGTGTTCGGGACCTACCTGTGGGCGGCGCTCCTTAAACCTTCCACTGTTCCGACCTGCTTGCCGTTGGTTTTGGTTGGGCCACTTCCTGTCTGATTGTCCAGACCTAGGCGGCCAATCAGCACCCCCCTTCCCCTGTTGAGGAGATTGGGACTGCTCTCGCGGTTTAACAGGTCTAGGTTTAGCAGATTTTGGCTTAGTGGGTGGAGCTTCTGTGCCTTCGAGCTCCAAACGCGGCTCAGCGTCGGGAGCTAGGTGCATGACGCGGTGATGTGCGTCAGGCTTTTGGGGCTTTCCGCCGGCTTCCCAAGCCTGTTGAGCGTATCTCCTAATCTCCTGAGTTGTCAGTTTTCTCATCCGACAATACATTGAGACTTCGGATCGAACACACTCGTGCAGGTTGTGAATGAACAGGGATCTGAAGGCAGGGTCTTCCTCGAGCCCAGGGCCGTTTCGACCTTGGAAATAAGCACTTTTGAGTCGGCGATAATACTCTCTGGGGGGTTCGTTCCTCCCGTGTTTGATGGAGAAGGCCCCCATTGTAGCTGACGCAGAGTCTGCATACGTGGCGTATTCATCTCTCAACGCTCGGCAGAGCGAGGAGTACCGATCTCGAATGTCAGATGGTAGAGTTTCCATGAAACCGTGCACCGTTCTAGATGTGGTTTTCCAAATTAGCTTGAGCTTTTCCCTTGAAGAGGGTGCTGGAAGATCAAGCAGACAACGTTCTATCTCCCTGAGATAATCGTCGACATTAGATTCATTGGTGTTAGGATCAAAGCGTTCTATGTCTTTAGCTAGCGATTCAATTTGACGTACACGGAGCCCTGACTCACGGTACGGCGCGTCATCCTCTGACTCTGACCCACGGTCTGTCTCAGAGTGCGCTGGATATCGCTGGTGTGCTCTGGGCTCCCAATGTTGACTCCTGGGGCCCAAATCAGGGTTCGGCATGCTGTGGCGGGCTGCTGGCACGTCACGTGGGTGTCTTGGGAGGTCCTCCTCCCGGGGCACGTCTGCGTAGTGCAGCCTGCGTCTTTCAACTGGGGCTTCTGCGTAATTCACTTTGTCCGGATACGGACTGGCGTATGATGCTTTGTCCTGCAGCTGGTTACCGGCATGCCGAATACCGGAGTAGCTAGGATGGGTGGATGGTTGAGGTGCAGCTTGGGCTTGTGCATAACCCCAATCGGCACCCTGCACCCTTTGTGGACTGGGGGAGCGGTCTAAATAGAGGTGCCGCTCAGCTGGTCGACTTCTCACTGATTGAGAAGGCCGTGAAGATGAGGGTGGTGGTCCAACCTGGGATTCGAGGGCGAACTGCTCTCGGCCCCTAGGTGGTCCTGAATGCCCTATAGTGTGTGTAGGGAACGGGGCCGAAGGTTGGGACAGATAAGCTTCATCTCTCCCCTGCGGCGTGCGTCCGTCCAGAGAGTCATGGTGTTTCCCCCCTTCCCACTGTCTGTTGTCATCAGCAGAAGGGGGCGGGGTCTTCTCCCCATCTTCCCCAGAATCGGTGCGGGTGTCGTCGTCCTCCTCATCCTTCAGACTTCCATTTCGCTGTTTTTCAGCTAGCATACTCTGGAGGTTCAAGATCTCTCGATCATGTTGGAGTTCTCTCTGATAGAGGATCAGGGCTAACTTAGCTAAGTGAACCTGGATTGGTTTTGTACCATCCGGGTTTTCTATTTGATCGATTACAGCGTCAAGCTGTTCTTCAGTGAAATCCCTAGAAGGGTAGTCGGGTTCTCGAGCAACCGCGACCAGTTTGGACAATATTTGTCCAGAAAGTAGGCCAGGTTCATAGTCGTGGGCCGCAGCGTCACCTGGTTGCTGGGAGTTGGTCAGTTCACTACTCTGTCCCTCCATTTTAACAACCGAACCAAAAATAGCCTAGTAGAGCTTCTGCAGATAGCTCAAACTGCACCTTTTGGGCAGCAACTGCTAGCTTTGTAGCAGAAAAACACTAAATTAACCTTTGTGCGCACAGGTTTTAGCGTTTTAAGATTGCACGGAATGCCGTGACTGACGCTTAAAATACTATTCCTTTCAGTATTTTAGCAAAAGCTGGTGCGTTGCCGTAGCAACGTCTTACAACACTTGCAGTGTTAAATATGCTAGTTATTCCTTCAGAATATTAGCAAACAGGGTGTTATCAGTCTTTGAGTGAAGGTTTCAGTTAGTTACAATAGCCACTGTGAGTTAAAGTCGCTAAATTAGCAGTTAATTTTAGCCTAAAAGGGTTAGTCAGAATTACTTACACACTGCACCTTTAATGAGGAACTGAATTGTAACCTAAAAGGTTAGCCAGAATTAATTACACATTGCACCTTTAAGGAAAAACTGAATTTTTAACCTAAAAGGTCAACCAGAATTAATTTACACGTTGCACCTTTAAAGAAGCACTGAGTTACTGGTGAGAGTTCGATGCAGCTTCCTGCTCAGCGAAATCAGCACCACTCTGTTGCTGGTTCAAGGCTGAACAACTGATTATTTTTAATTCAAGCTCTTTGGATTTATTTGTTTGTTTGTGCCGGATAGAAAGTCTCTGTGTATCCAAGCCTCACACGGCCGCACCAATAAAATGTTGGGGTTATTAGGAGCGAACAATTAGTAAGCTTCAACTTACTTTTGGATTCTTCAATAAATTCTGTAAATATGGGAATATTTACTGATTTATTAATTAATTAAGATATTCTTAGATATACGGGGCACCATTCCCCTTTTACCGGGGAAAAATTGAATCCAAAACTCTTATCAGTCTTTCTTGAAGTTCGTAGAATCCTTGGAGCAGAGACTTCTCTTCGACACAACAAAGCTACTGGAGACGAAAATCTGAATTTTATAACGTTTAATTAACAATTTGTCAAATGAATAAACAGTGGAATAGATGAATGATAACCGTGTGATATGATTGAAGATGGATGTGTTTGCATGTGATGGAGGATGTATGAATGGGGTCCTTTGTTCTCACAAAGGAGTAGTGTGTGTGTGTGTGTGTGTGTGTGTGTGTGTGTGTGTGTGCGTGTGTATGGATTCAAAATGGAGTCTTGAATACAAGATGGCTGACCCCTTTGTCTGGCTAAAGTGTGGGTGGCAACTTGCACTTTAACTTCCAAAGCACTTAGAATCAGTAGTAACTTAACCTTAAATCACTCAAAACATTTCAAAAGATCATGAAACAACACAAAAGATTAATCACAAATTAATATCTTTTAGTTTCAGCCTGGCCATGACAGAAACCATTTTAAGATACCAAACAATGATCAATAAGCAGTTTATTCTTTCAAAATGACCCGACGGACGTGTTTGGGACGAAAGAGGAAAACACGAAGCTACTTTTTAAGCAATAGCGCGGTTTTATTGCTTATTCTGGACTATAGAGTTAACTGAAGAAGAAGGAGAGAGAGAAAGAGATGAGTTGCTGATCACCAGAAGAGCGAGGCGTCCCTCCCTCTTTGATTTGACGGTTCTCCGTGTTTCTCCGCAGCTTTCGGCGTCGTCCGTCGGTTTGATGCTTTCTCCGTTGTTTGGCGTTCACGAGTGTTTCTCCACGGGCTGGACAGAGACAGCAAAGTTTCTTTCTATGCTGAGTTATAACTTACAGCGTGCTTGATGGAGTTGTTGCTTTCCTCCGCAGTTCTGTGTCCTCAAACATCAGCTGGAGGGGAGCAGAAACGAGCAGATCTGATGGGCTTGCAGTTTAGTTTCCAGCAGTTCCGTGGACTCAACTTGGGCACTTAGAGCTTCCGCGTGCTCAAGGGAGTCGGAGCGTTGACAAGCGTGTCCTTACCGCCAGGTATCCTGGGCAAAAGAACGAGGATTCTTTGTCTCTGCTGAAGATTTATGGTCTTAGTTCGCGGGAAAAGCTCCACGGCTTCCCGCACATGCGCAGAACGTGTTTCTGGTACTAGGCGGTGACGTCATCACAATGCTTCCGTGTGCAAAGCATCATGGGAAATGAAGTTTCTTGGCGCTGATGTGATTATTTGCTTTTCAGAGCAATTTAAACACAGTCATTTTGGAGAAAATCACTGCATAGTAATTTCCTCATGAGGTCAGACCCTCAACATGTTTCTTCTTTTTTCAAAACCCAAATCAACAACAGACTAAATATTTGCCAATGCCTCTTCGGTCGGCCACTTTAAAACCTTTGATTTCTTTCCTCAGTTTGCTCATCAGTGCCCCATTTGAACAGTATTCAAGTAATGGAAGGGGACAAATATTCGATTGCATGAATGAGTGTAAAGAACTACATCTTCCAAGTAAGAATCACTTCATTACCAAAGTTTGCTTCTCCTTGTCACAGCTTCCTACATCTTTCAGACTTTTTGTCAGGGGCCAAGTGGATGGTACCCAAGGATTTATCCAAAACACAGGATGAGATAGGATGTGCAGTGTTTATTGCACAGGAATAGTGGTTTGGGTGGATGGGTCAACAGGAGCTGAGCTGTGGATTCATACATGCGGTTTCAGAAAACAGAGAATTAGTCTAGCTCTCATCAGACTGGGTTGCTGGAGTGTGGTGGCAGAAGAAGTGTAGGATAGGTTAAAAAAAACTAACTTGAAAAGATGCCGCACGGGTGCTAAGTCTAAAAGTAGTTTATCACACAGAGTTTATTTTCTGCGCCCATGCAACATATATGTCGCACTGTACAGCCTGCATAGCCTGATTGCTATGTTAACAATTATCACTTTGAAAGATTTTTGTTGTCAAATCTTTCCTCAGAAGCTCCAGTCAACATGTCTCTTGGTTTGGCGTTGGCAATTGATCCCACAACACAGAACACTTTGGTGAGATGAACTGTTAAATGTTTAATGGAGGTAAAACATCAAAGTAATTAAAATTTATATAAAACTTTATGTTTTAGGCATGTGGTCCAAGTATTCCTAAAGACTGCAAAAGTATCACTATGTACAATGGTTTGTGCTTTGAGATAGACCCACAGAACAGATTTGGAAACACATATCCATCTTCCACTGAAGGTAAAGATGAACTGTTTTTCTTTCACATGAAGATCAAAATTATTCATATATACAGTCTTGACTTTAAGGAGTAACAGACACTTGTTTGATAAACGTTTTCCTCGCTACATAAATGTGATCCCAAAGGGAGACTTGAACCACACGTGTTTTTTGATTTTTGAGGACTGAGCACCACCTCACCCCTGCCATGTGGACTGCAAGGGATGAACTACAGAAACTGCCAACTCATTGGCTGGCACTAATTCACACCTACCACACTCATACGCACATGCACACACGCGCGCGCGCGCGCTCACACACACACACACACACACACACACGCACACACGAACGCACGCACACACAGAGTCTCCAAAAGCAACACTGCTCACAGCCTTTGCATAACTTAAGCATCATGGACTTTTACGTGCTTTGAGATTTCTGCGTTCCTGAGAAGGGGTTGTGAACAAAATCCACTGGTGCGGGACCGACGCCAACCCACCCGTACAGGGCCAGATGTGGAAGCAGCATTTGACTTGCAGTCCTGAAGTCTCACAAAGTCACGTTTTACTCCATGTTTACACCTCAGAACAGACCAGCTATACCTGGTTAGCATTTATTGTAGCGTGTTTATCATGATGGAGCCTCGGAAGAAACAAAGAAAACATGTAGGCATCAAATTATGCATCTGATGAAACTAAAAAAAATAAAAGAACATCTGACCACAATAGGAGTCAATGAGTCAACATCAGGAAATTCCTGAATCACGAGAGCTAAGACAAATAAGGATTGGATGCAGACCTAGCAATGAGCCTATTGTGCTTGTAAGTACAACGCAACATGTTATATTTGTCAAGTGGTAGTGATCATACACTCACCCAAACCCACCAACATAAGCTCTCTTCTTACCTGGAAACCCTGACATTGATGCTTTCTCATCTTTACCCAAGGTCTTTGTATCCTCACACACCACTGAATCCTCAGCGCGCCATGCAGACTCTGGCTGTTGCTGAGCAGGTCTGCCAGCCAGCCACTCCTGATTCTGGTCCTGTTGGCTAGCCAGCAACATGCCTGCCTATAATCACCCATCACTCTGAATATTCGTTTGGGTTTGCCAACTTGCTACAGCCTTTTCCTGTGGTCACATGATTCCTTTTCTCAGGTCTTTAGTCATATTACTTACCAGGAACTCTGTTAGTCGACAGTAATGTGACTAGCCAACATGCTAGCGCTGGAGTCTGCTTCCAGCACATTTTCTGCATGTTTTGCATCATGAACACAACTGATTTGTTTGATTCAGTTATGAAACGCTCCTGTAGACACTAATAAAGGCTGAGGAGACATTTCAGCTGTTAGGTAAAGGTGTTACAGATTGCCAAGTGTTCCTTTAAAAATAAATTAATTTTATGTAAAATGTTATTTCCATTATACATCACCATTGTTTTTGTTAAGTTGCAGGGCATTCTGGGAATGACATAAGCGTTATTTGCACACACATTTCCTTTCAGTCTTTCCAGTTTAAATCTGAGGACTTTGATAGAGAATAAAAAACATAAATGAGACTTTACTTCAAAGTGAGGAAAAGCAAATGCACGAAGAGAAGATTGTTTATCTCTACTTGTCATGCATAATAATAAAAATGTCCCAGAATGCAATGCACAGGAGAACTAATGGTGACCTCCATAGGCGAAGGAATTAACATGAACTTGATGACAAAGACACACTGAACTTTGGAAATGGTGCCCTCATGGAGGGGGCCATCGGCTTGAACACTGTTGCTAACCATTTAAACATTCTCCCTCTCCTGATAATAACATTTTACTTTCTTTGACATTGAATGTGCTACTACTAGTTTACCCATTTAATTATAGATTCACTAGGATAAATAAAAGAAAGTTCATCTCTCACCAAATAGGATATTTACTAAGAAATCACAATGTAACCACAGAAACATTACTTGGTATATATGTTGTGTGTGGATGTGTGTTTGTGTGTGGGTGGGTTAGTGTTGGTGTCTGCTCTGTCTTCTCGATCCCCAGTGAGTCGTGGTGGATGGCTGCTTATACTGAGCCAGGATCCTCTGGAGGTTTCTTCCTGTTAAAATAGAGTTTTCCTCTCCACTGTCGCTAAATGCTTGCTCAGTATGAGGATTGCTGTAAAGACACTGACACCAGTCAGTGACATGAAGCAATTTGCTGGGTTCTTTATATAGGATATGTTTTACTGATTGGCTTAATGAACTGACCTGTATTGGAATGTTTATTATGTGAAGTGCCTTGAGATGACTCTTGTCGTGATTTGGCGCTATATAAATAAACTTGAACTGAACTGTCATCTTCAAACTCTATTATTTTGCACAGAGTGTAAAAACCAGGCAGATATTGCTTTTCTGCTGGATGGCTCGGGTAGTGTGGCTGCAGAAGATTTCATAAAAATGAAGGATGTTGTGAAAAAGTTAATTCGTTCATTCCTGAAAAATGATACAGACGACATACAGGTATACACACATGCACACACAAACATGTGCATGCATGCACGCACGTGCGCGCGCACGCACACACACACACACACACACACACACAGACACACACACACACACACACACACACACACACACACACACACACACACACACACACAGACACACACACACACACACACACACACACACACACACACACACACACACACACACACACACACCAAAAATGAAGATGACACAAGATAATTGATAATGTTTTGTGAAACACTGGCTCATACCTAAGTCAGCTGCAGTTACATTATTGTTATTTTTCCCTTTTTTTTTGCAGTTTTCCATCACAGGGTTTTCAACAGATGTCCAAATTTATTATGACCTTGCTAAACTTCCTTCTGAAACCTGGGAATCTCATATTGATAAAATAAAGCAAACTATTGGTAAAACAGCAACAGCTACAGCCATCAAAAAAGTTGTGTAAGTACCCCTGTGATCTCATTATTTAACCTCACCATTATGCTCCCCCCCCCCTTCCATGTGCTCCTCCCGAACCTCAATGAGCTGCCGCCATGACAGAGAAGAAACAAATCCTCTCCTTCTAGCAGCATCGTCCGCTACATAAAGTAATGAAGCCACTGTGTTCTCATATCCATGAAACAGAAGACTATCACCATTCTGCCAATGCACTTTTCAATCTACAGAGTAGAGATACCATTAGGATACTGTAAAATAAACCTTTAAGCATTTTAACAGCAGTTTACAATTGCTCTCTATGATTGTGTTTAACCTCTTAACACTTTATAGGACACTCATTGAAGTATTTAAATTTAAAAATTTCAACTCCAGGGTCTTATTGTACTCCACAACCAAAGTGCATTTTAGTTGTAAAAATGTTCCTACATTTTTGTTTTCATGCCGAAAATCAGAGAAAACGAAGTGCACAAAACAGGACGTTGGCCCTGTTCTGGTAAAAGTAATCCCACAATAAAATAACATGAACAATTTTAATGAACATTATATTTGAATAATATAAATAGTTATAAGACACTTTAGAATAATCTAGCAAATTTCTGAACATTATATCACTGTTCAATAATACAGAATATATCACATTTATTAAAGAATTTAGAATATGTTTATAAAAACAGATTACTGTAGACTACGTATTTTTGAAAAGTTATTGAACAATAGGTACTAATTCTGATCAAATGTAGATTATTAGAATATTTTATATTTGAGAATGTGCCTCAATGTCATCTTCCTCCTGTTCATCATCATCACTGATGGTGAAATTGATTGGCACAATAACTGTCCTACTCCATTTTCCAAAGGAATCTTAGTTAAATGCTGCAAAAATATTCAATATCTTAATTGTTATCATTATCGTTACCATTGTAATGATAATAGAGGGTAAATTGGGTTAAGTAAATTGCTTAGAAAGTTATTTAAATTATTACCACTACTTGTGACCAATAAGTGGTGATACTCTATTTAACTAGAATATCACCTGCTTGGTCTTATTATTTTAGTCAGAAGATTCTAAGATTATTTTATTCATTAGGGGATCGTACACACTTCGCTTTGATTCAAGAAACAGTCAGGTTTATAAACAAAATAAGAATTTATTTTACAAACAATTAAGACTTGACAAATTGTTTAAACTATTGTTGACTGTAAGTGGATGCAACTAAGGACGGCGTCTGGAACCTGTGTGTGAATATATTGTGTTCAGAATCTCTGTTTCTCAGAGCTGAGTTCTGGATGGAAATTTGGTTTGCAAATAAGCTAGAAAGATGTTATTATCAGAACCACATTCGGACACTATCTGTGTGTCTACATTACCCGGATTCGGAGACCCCCTTGTGGATCCGAAAAGGAGAGGGGTCGGATGACTGCTGGCACCGGAGGGCTGTAGAGTACCGAGGTACCAACTTTCAGTCCAGAGATGTCTCCCGGGTCACGACAGATGGATGAAACCGAGCGTCTTAAAAAATAACTCTGAAAGAGTTTTGAGTCAGCTTTGTTCTGCAGAAAACTATCTGGTTGTTTCAGCTTCGCAGGTGCGAAAAAGGTTTAAGAAGGTTTTGACAGACATGTCAAAATCCTTGTGGTTCCAGAGGTTATGCAAAAGATGGCCAGTCTAAAGCTTTTCCTCTAAAACCCTCAAACTGTTGAGCTGTTCGAACTGTTTTGTCTGAAGCTGAACTCAGGGAAAAAACAGAGTAAAACTAGTTTTAACGGATTGATGTTATCTTGGTTAGCCAACCAAAAGTTGACAAGTCTGAGGATATTACCAAGCATCTTAGAGACACACCCTCTGTGATGGAGACTCTGAATCTAGGCAAAAGGTCAACTATGTGTCATGTGTTAACTTTACTTGTGAGTGCAAATGTTATGACCTCGTCAAGTAAACATACTAAAACAATCTTTGAGCACAGATTAATGAAACATTTCATTATTTATAATTATAAATGGCAATATTTAATGACTATCTTTAATTATAAAATCTTCTTTCTTCTTCTTAGAATAAAGGAGTTTATTTAAAAGAGTTCCTCTGTGATGGACCTTGGAGGCGAATGTTATTGTTTATGCTTTATTATCTCTGCAGTCCAGCTGGTGTGAGGAAGTAGGCTCTGATTAAAGGGGCTACGTGTAGACTTCCAGACTCCTGTGAGGGGAAAAGATACTGTAGGATGTGTCATAGCCAGGGTAAGTTGACCTGGCTGTGCATTTGACCTGTGGGATCTCAAAATGAGGCCATTCGTGACATTACACCATGAATATTAAGATTAAGTCTAAAAAAACAACAGATTTTACCTAAAATTTTCTAAATTTCTTTTCCTTGTTCAGGGCGAATGTTCAAATATGGCAGATATGATTTTCATGCTAAGATTTCACCAACTTTATACATATATCCTTATTTAGCACAACTATTCAACCTGGTGATGTGAGAGTTTCATAAACCCAGCATTGTTAGTTTTAGAGATGTGACCGTAAACACGAGAGGAGACTGAGCAGTTTTCTGGTTCTGCAGACACACCGATATTTGGCGCGTTATAGCTCCGCACTGATTGGTGGAATGGTGCCATGGTGCAAACCATGACTAGCTTAACCTCTGATGACTGGTTGGGTGAAATCCCATAATTCTAAGTTTGTGAAAACGCACACCAACATCATTTATGATGTGTGTGGAAATGTCTAAATATAGACGTTGTCCCTATAAAGGGTTCAAACTCACAATATGTTGTATGAACTTTCCTTTTGACAGGGAAGATGTCTTCTCACCAAATAAAGGTTCCAGACCAAATGTGAAGAAGATTTTGATAATCATTACAGATGGAAAATCTACTGACAGTGGCTTAGACGAAGCAATAGAATTAGCTGACAAGAAACACATCACTCGATTTGCAGTTGGGGTGAGCTGCAAATCTATATATTGAAAATACATACAACTTTAACATGTCTATGCCATTGTGTGTGTGTGTGTGTGTGTGTGTGTGCGCTTGTGTCTTGATCTTTTTTGTCTACCAAGTATACATCCAAATATCAATTATTCAAGTGTATCAACTCACATGCATTTTCGACGTCTCTAGGTGGGAGAAGCGTTTGATAAGGAGGATGCAACTAAAGAGCTCAACCTGATAGCATCCAGTCCTCCGGAGAACTTTATGTTTAAAGTTGATAATTTTAAAAAACTTGAAAAAATTCAAGAGAATTTGCAGGACAGGATTTTTTCTATAGAAGGTACAGATGTTATTCCCCCCCCCCCCCCCCCCCCCCCAAAAAAAAAAACATTTTATATTACATGTAAAAATCAGCTCAAAACCTGACTATTTTTGAAAAGCAAAACATAAACCTATACATAAGAAACACTTCATCCTCAAAATACTTTTTGGAAACTAAAATGGACTTGTTTTGTCTTTACAGGGTCTAAAGCCAGTGGAGCCACACTGAAACTGGAATTGTCTCAAGAGGGGTTCAGAACAGCTATCGTTCCTGAGGTAAAGAAACACACTGGAGACTAACAGGTTACTAACCATGGATTTATGTATTTACAAAACTTTTCTTAAACTTCCTGCCTTCATCACAGGGAATTCAGATGTCTATTGTTGGTGCTAACCAATGGAGAGGAGGCTACAAGAAACACTCACTTCAGAATCCTGCAGGCAGTTTGTCATATGAACCAGAAGACATAGAACCTGATAGTTATCTTGGTGAGAAAACGTGTAAAACAAGCAAATATTTAACTTCACTGCTTTCATACCAAATTCATTTGTCATGGTGGTAGTAGTAGTTGAAGGATCTATCAATCTGTTTAACAACTAAACATTTAAACATTTTCACTGATGTTTTTGACCATAAAATTCCAGGTTATTCCATGGCAGTAGCTACAAGTGAATCTGGCATATTGACAATTCTTGGTGCTCCACGATACAAACACAGAGGACTTGTGAGGATTGTTTATAAAGTAACAACCAAACAAGAAATCCACCCCTATCCAGAACAGGTAGGTCTGTAGGCATGGCTGTCCTGAAAAACATGCCCAGCGACGACAGACGTTTCTTTACTGCAATGTATTGTTTGTCTTTGCAATAATTTTTCCTTTATGATTTCTTTCTTTCCCTGCTTCAGATTGGTGAATATTTTGGGGCAGAGGTTTGTGCCGTGGATGTGAATTCTGACAGCTACACAGATCTAATCCTCATATCTGCTCCCATGTACAAAGACAACAACAGAGAAGGACGAGTTTATGTTTGCTCATTCAATGGTCGGGTAAATACCAGCAGTTTCATAGTCATGGTAATCAACATCTTTTTAAATGTCTACTTAGCTATAAAAAAACACCTCATCCTTTCATCGCTACCAGATCGTCAACTGCCACTTTGATTCTCCATCACAACTAATAATACTGAAAGGGGATCCATTCCCAAAAGCAAGGTTTGGGTCTAGTCTTGCTGCTCTGCCTGATCTAAATGCAGATGGATTCAATGATCTGGTAGTTGGAGCTCCTCTGGAGAATGATGGCCAAGGTAGCATCTACATATTCAATGGAGAAGGAGGTGAAGGGATCAATCCTGCTTACTCACAAGTGAGCAAACTCCTAACAAAAATATTTTAAAAATGTCATAGTTTTCATAGGAGTTCAATAAAAATAAACAGTGCTAAGTATAAGATTTGTCATTGCAGAGAATTGCAGCCTCTGAAGTGAAATCAGGACTAAAGTTCTTTGGTTTGTCGATAAGTCCATGGTCTTATGATCAGAGTGGTGACACACTGCCTGACTTAGCGGTGGGTTCAGTGGGAACCGTCGTCTTGCTCAGGTAAACATTTCAAATTTTTTATTTTATAAGCAGGTGCAGATAACCATGGTACATGTTAATCTGGTCATTATCTTTCATAAACATGTACAATGTTTTCCTTGAGACCAAGACTAGTTCTTGGTTGGGCTTTTATTTCTTTTCCCAAAGCAAAACCGTCATGCCTTTTCTAAATGTGTTCCTTTATAGATCTAGACCTTTAGTGATGGTGGATACCACTGTGACATTCAGCCCAAATGAAATCCCAACTCAAAACCCAAACTGCTCAAAACCATTGGAAAGTACAGCTACAATCTGCTTTACCATGAGGAGACTGTCTAGAGTCGATACAGGTTTTTCCTTGTCATATTGCACTAATCCGTATAAATTCCTGATTGTATGCTTTTGATCTAAAATCAAATTACTTGTCCATTCCAGCTAAAGCACAGTTCAATTACACTTTAACTCTGGATGCGACTCGTAAGACTCCCAACAACCGAGCTTACATCATCAAGCAGAAACAGAGAGCCCAAAATGGATCTATTATTGTTGACTTGAATGAACAAAAGTGCATTGGTGTTGATTTCTACATCGAGGTAAAGCTGAATACCTACAAACTAATCTGATGCAACTAGTAGAGGTTTACCTTGCTGAGGTCAACTCTTCATCTTTCCACCCTCTTTCAGTCCTGTCCCGAAGATGCTCTCAATCCGCTCAAAAATGAACTCAGATACACTTTTGATGGTTTTCCTTCTAAAACAAATCTCACACCAAGCATCTCCCAGCAGGCTAAAACAGCAACGTTTCATCCTGTGAGTAACTTCTAACCACAATTTAGCAATAGAATAATGGTCTTTATATTGCTTTTCTTTTGGTCTGACTTCTTTTTTTATAGTTGCTACATTTAAAAGGCTTTGCAGTTCCCAAATCATTCTGCATTTTTCTTTATTTTCCTAACATTGCATTTTCTTCCACAGATTAGCTTTCAAATCAGCTGTGGGGATGACAATAAGTGCGTAGATGACCTAAAAGTGGATTTTGATTTCACCAGGTAAAGTGAACAGATGTGAAGCCTTTCATGTGTGTCTGATGCACTTTTACTTACATTTGCTGAGATTACAAAACGTTTGCTAATGCTCAAGATTGAAACTATTTGGGAAATCACATAACAGAAATCAACACAGTGCTATAATTATATATAATATATATATATATATATATATATATATATATATATATATATATATATATATAATTATCACATTAAATGTCTATGGTAAATGAATATGTCGAAGGTATAGACACAACTAGAGGTGTGCCGATTCACAATTTAATCGATATATCGCTTTGTGAAAAAACACAAGAGCAATGGTGGAAGCTTGTTTATTAGGTTTAGCCACTGAATGTAAGATTTATTTCTCAGGAGGATAAAAGAAAGTTTCAGTAACACTAAAATAAATTACAACAACACTACCAACATGTGACAGCACCCTACACCATCCTGTGTGAGATGAAGAGAAGAAGCTGGTGGTTGTTCCTCCTAACCAGCCAACAATCGAAGAAGGGTTAAAAATACTTACCCGGAACTCCAGCGTCTTTCATAAACCTATGGGATTACTTTACTGTAAATGTGAGGCAGCAGCAGGGAGCCTTTAGTTATCTATAAGTGGTCAGTCTATGGAGGTAATGTGGTGTGTTTTCACTACAACCCCCCAAGGTGCTCAACAACACAATCAGTCATTCACACATTCACACCCTGGTGAGGATGAGCTAAGATGTAGCCACAGCTGCCCTGAGGCGCACTGACAGAGGCGAGACCGCAGAACACAGGCGCCACAGGTCCCACCGACCACCACCAGCAGGCAAGTCGGGTTAGGTGTCTTGCGCAAGGACACAGCAGCATTCTCTGCTCAAAGCCGAGATCGAACTTGCAAACTTGCGATGACTGGACAGTGCAAAACTACAGTGGGTGCGGAAAGTATTCAGACCCCAGTGAATTTTTCACTCATTGTTATATTGCAACCATTTGCTCAAATCAAATAAGTAATTTTTTTCCTCGTTAATGTACACACAGCACTCCCATATTGACAAAAAAATAAAACACAGAATTTTAGTAATTTCTGCAGATTTATTAAAAAATACAAACTGAACCATCATATGGCCCTAATTATTCAGACCCTTTGCTGTGACACACACCTCAGGTGCTTTCCACTTCTTCTGATCATCCTTGAAATGGTCCTACACCTTCAGTGGAGTCCAGCTGTGTTTGCTTCTACTGATTGGACTTGATTAGGAAAGCCACACACTTGTCTATATGAGACCTTACAGCTCACCATGCATGTCAGAGCAAATGAGAATCACGAGGTCAAAGGAACTGTCTGAAGAGCTCAAAGACAGAATTGTGGCAAGGCACGGATCTGGTCAAGGTTGCAAAAAATCTCTCAAACTGAGCTATCGAGGGAGAAGAGACTTGGTGAGAGAGGTAAAGAACGCAAATATCACTGTGGCTGAGCTCCAGAGATGCAGTCAGGAGATGGAGAAAGTTGTAGAAAATCAACCATCACTGCAGTCCTCCACCAGTCAGGGCTTTATGGCAGAGTGGCCCGTCGGAAGCCTCTTCTCAGAGCTCAGTGGGCTCAGGGTAAGAGGGGGGCCCTAAAGAGCAAGGGCAAAAGGAGAAATCCTGTTGTGGGGGGCCCATCTAATATTATCTCATCCCGGGCCCAAGCATAGTTGCCACTTCATGACCCTTGCTTAGGTTTGAGGTGCTCTTTCCAGCCGCACTCCATGACCTTCCTAGGCTGTGCCATCTCAGACAAAGTGATGGCAATGGTTTCCTAGAAGGTCGCCACAGTCACAGACTGGCTTCAACCTACTTTCCTAAAACAGCTCCAGTCCCTCCTCAGGTTCATCAACTTTTACCACCACTTCATTTGCAACTACAACACTGTGGTGGCTCACAGCACCTCACCTCACCTCACCTCTCTGACCAGACCTCCCAACCAACCTCGACCATTTGTCTTGCCCCCAGAGGCCAAACAGCCTTTCTGACATGTCACCTGGCTCTTCACTTCTGCACCCATTCTGATCCATTTGGACCCTGCTTCAGAGTGGAGGTCGATGCTTCCGACATCAGCGTAGGGGCGATTCCTTTCCAGCATGACTTCAACGAGAGACTTCACCCCTACTGCTTCTTCTCAAGGAAGTTCACTCACACTCAGCATCACTATGGGGGTATTCCTTCGGGAGCAGTTGGCCATGAAGTGGGCATTGGAGGAGTGCTACTGGGTAATGGACACACCAAAGCCCTTCCTGATCTGGATGGACCACCGAGATCGGATCCACATCAAAAACACCAAGCAACTCAAACCCTGGCAGAACCTCCTCATCAAGCTCAGCTTGCACCAGTCGTGCATCATAGCTCTTCACCCGCTGCTGGGCAGACACCTGCTTCACAAACAGTTCAAAGGACTCACTCACCCATCCTTCATCACTCAGTCATTGTGTGTTTTTTACGCATGAGTTTCTGATCTATGTGATATGTATCAGTTCCCAGCCAAGCCTGACTCAAAGACACAAAGAACTAGCTTCCCAAGCCCACTGCTATAGCCCTTCCCTTCATGCCTTGTCACTGTTACTTCTCCTCTAAAACCCATCTTCCTCCAACTTTAACTGGTCCTCCTCTGCGTGTGGAATGCAACCAACCTGTTCCATGCTACACTTCGCCAAGTGAAGGTTATACTAAATCAGTGGGATTCTTTGGGAACAATTATCATTTCAATTGTCTCCTCCCTCCCCTCCCCTTGGTGTTTGAAAGGCAAAAGCCTCTGCAACAACCCACACGTTTGTGTTTACATTCATTTGTTTTACGTTTCATTGTATAAGGGGAAACTATAGGTTGGTTTATGCTTGACGCGTTTGCGAGGTTCGCACGGCTCCACGCGGCAAAATTGCGTCATTTTAACAACCACGCTCCTCCACCTGGCCTCCGCACGGCCCAAACTCTCCGCACCGCGCACCTAGGAGATTTTCTAACCACGCGGACGGTCGAACTCGGAAAAACATGGCTGACTGGCAAGAACTAGTTCGTAAATACAGACAGTTGTATGATTCAGCTCTCAAAGATCACAGTGATCAACATGTTGTTAATAATCCTTGGAGAGAAATAGCTCACACTGTCGGAAAAGACGAGGACGCAGTTAAAAAATGCAGGAAAAACATGAGGGACCGATATGTGAAGGCAAGGGAAAAGCGGTGATCCGGGTGGAAACAAAAACACTTCACCAATTCTAAGAGCTGAGTTGGCTCTCAACTTTCATGTTGTAAACAACAGTAATTTCTACTTCTACTATGGTGTAGTGTTGGATGAATGCAATAGAGCTCCATGCTGCCCCCTACAGTTTGGGAGAATATTGGCTCACCGCAGAAGCAAGCCGCATGAACCATAAATGCTGCAAGTTGTGAAGCGTGTTGCATCCGCGAGCCGCATCACCAAGTGGAAAGTAAATGCGTCAAGCACAAACCAAGCTTATCATTGAGTTGAGAGGTGGAATGGTGGCTGCAAAATCTGATACATAGCGTAAAAGACCTGGTTCTCAATGACCAAATGCAAATCCATCTCAGTAAAAGTTGCAATGTACCTTATAACTTGTTTGTCTTGCTTCTGTGGACATCCTTGTACATTACTCAATTGCCCTCTGATGAGGGTTCGCAACTAGCGGTAGCGGCTAGGTGCTTTTCTTCTTCCTCAGTGAGGAAATGTGAATTAAGGTTTCTGACGTGTTTCTGAAATTTTCAAGTAAAAAAAAAATACTTGGATATGCTGTGGCTCTTGTCCAGAACCCATTCCTTTCAGGTTTTATTGTGGGACTGAATTGTCTGGTCTGCACTCTGTCGAGTCATCCACTTGTTGCATTTGGCTAAAAGCCATGGCGACAAAAAGTAAGCACATGTGGGTGGCAACATGGATGTATTATTCACGTGAAAAAATTGAGTAAACAGGGATGTTAAGGAGGCACAAACTTTTTTTATCAAAAGTCTCTTGGGCTAATAAAATCTGACGAGTATTGTTCCCTTCCTACATGTCATTTCTGATTATTGAAGCAAAAATCACTGTGCCAGTTCATCTGGACAAAAGAAACACATTTAGATATATATTTATGCCCAAATTCTCAAAACTAATATATCTATGATGAAAGTGAGTAAAAACTTGCAGCAGTCCTTGCATGGCTCTTAGTTTATTTTATTGTTCCTGTCTTAACGTTTCAGATCCTCAGAGGTTAAAGTTGGCATAGATGAGCTTTTAAACGTGACCGTCTCAGTGGACAACAGCGGGGAAAACTCTTACAACAGCCACATCATTCTCACATACCCAGTTGGACTCTCCTACAGGAAGTTTACATCTCTACAAGTGAGGAATCTAGACTGGTTGAGTTCATCTCTGATCCGAGGCTCCAGCCGGTCACTCATATGTTTTGTCTTTAAAACAGGGAAGAATTGAGTGTAACTCCTTGGACAGTGAAGATGGCGTCGTAAGAGGAAAGACAGACTGCAGTGTTGACAAACCTATTTTCAAAAGCAACTCTAAGGTTAGTTTGTTATGCTGCTGCTTCTCACTGCTGCTCAGACGGTGAGTCTAACAGGAAGTCGTCTCATCCTTCCCTTTTGTTTTCTTTCAGGCGATCTTCATCGTTTCTTATGGGTTCAATACCAGAACACCACTCAATGACAAGAGAACAATCTTTGTCACTGCAAATGCTACAAGGTAATGTTTGTCTGATTCTGTTGTTTTATACATTTATTTATTTTTAAACACATTTCAATGTTTGATTTAGTGATAATCAGCAGCATTCTTCAAGCAACGTCTATAAGAAGAAGGAGATTAATCTGAAGTTCAGCATTTTCATAACAATTGAAAGGTGGGTTGGTTTCCTACAGGTTTATAGTTTAATTGTTCACATTTAAGAGCTTAGAAACACCAAGGAGTGCTGGTTATCCAGCTTTTAATGATCCAAATACGAATAATTCATGTTGAAATTAGCTTTTTATTCACTGAATGTTGATTGTCCTTCCAGCTCTCTCAGCTATAGGAACTTCACGTTTGGAAAAAATGATCTGCAAAAACCGTTCGAACAACTAATAGAGGTAATGGATTACTTTTCATTATATCTGGGACCAGTATCACCTTCAGGTTTATCATCTAGTCTTCAGACCTTAAAGTGCATTTACCCAACCCCCAATCCTAATCTTCTCTCTCAGGTCACTAATAGTATCAGGCCTCTGAATTTCACCGAGGTAATAAAAGTTCCCGTAAAACTCGGAGACAAAGACATTTGGGTGGACATGGACAGCTTGCAGGTAAAACATGTATAAAACTGTCCCATAATATAAAATGCTAAGTAGAAACTGAAACGACGATAAAAAAGGGAAAGCAAAAAAAGAGAACATAACATACATTAGGAATCTATACTCAGATTACAGACTGTGATAGAACCGAAGACAAAGAACCCGTCGTCACAGATTTTGCTGCACAGATAAAGAAAACAAAAGCTGTGGTAAGAATAAACAACCTGTTGGAAACTATGATTAAAAATGAGAAGTACAATGATCTATGTTTGAGTTTGTCACCCACAGGACTGCTCTGTAGCCAGGTGCAGAGTGTTCAGGTGCAAAAGGTTCATGGAAAAGAATGAGAAACGAACACATAAGATCTCTGCAAACCTCAGCTCAGGGTGGATAGAGCAGGTAATCAACATGTAGGTGATGATAATCAGTACCGGTTCTGACCAGATACCCCAATTAATACTTCAGACATAGTAAACATGGACTTAGTTATGCAGTAACAAAAAACTCACTCATATCTTTTGTCTTTCAGATTGGACTCCCATCTGCCAAACTGCTCTTGACCAGTATGGCCAGTCTAGAATACGATGCAAACCAGTACATCTTCTTCTCAACAGCCTCTAACTATGCTCCTCCTGTTTGCAAGGTGACTGCATCATTACCTAGTTTGTTTTAGAATCAAAAAGCTTTAGGTTGATTAAAAATGTCTCCATGTTTGTTAGATTGAGGCTGAGATTGAAGTGTTTCCTGAACCAGATTTCACCAAACAGATCATCGGAGGATCTCTGGGAGGCTTGTTGCTTCTCATTCTGCTCACCATTGTCCTGTATAAGGTGAGTCACAGCTTTGAGGTGACATAAACATTTTCATTCCAATTAGCTGCTCAGTTAAACAGCCAACAGGGACGGTGACTTAGTGATGAACCTTGACACACAGATATTTCTTCGTGATGATTTGGAGCAGGATAATTTTTGTCCGTCCGAAAGCCCGGTTCACACAGCAGTATAATTGTACCGATTCTTGACCCGATCCTCCTTTTCCGATAATTTCAGATGGGCCAGATTACAAGCCCAGAATCTAGACCGTCATTTGCCGAAGAAAAATTGGAATCTCCGCAGACTCGGGCAGTATTGTGGCTGGCCAATCACAGTGTGTTTATTTGGAAAAAAAATTATGAATTTTCATCTTTCTCACTGCTGCTTCCACGATGTCTGGTGGATTGCCCCACCTATAGTGGCCCAATCACAATGCTCTATTGGTTTGGTGGGCCAATCACAGAACTCTGTTGGTAGGTGGGATGTTACTGAAAAAGCAAAAACGGTGATGACTTATTTGAGAAGGCTTTGGCATCAAATTTGGGCTATTTAGGCTCTGGCTTTTCTTTCACTCAAGAGCAAATAGAAGTACCTTCGTTTATTTAGAAAAAGGAAGTATTTGCATCTTCTTTGATAGAGTATGGCGGACTGCGTCGCTGACTGACATCCATAGCAATGAGTACGTCATGTTGTTTGTTATCCATTTGCATGCAGAGAAAGTTTGAAAGACAGCAATAAATTCCACCCCACGGCTGAGAGCCATCAATGAACCCTGGCCATATATATTCAGCAGGGACAGCAGTAGCTCAGGAGGTACAGCGGGTTGTCCAGTAATCAGAAGGCTGCAGGTTCAAACCCGGCTCTTACCAGAGAATGCTGCTGTTGTGTTCTTGGGCAAGACACTTAACCTGCCTTACCTGCTGGTAGTTTTCGGAGGGACGGGTGGCAACAGTGTTCAGCAGGCCTCGCCTCTGTCAGTGAGCCCAGGGACAGCTGTGGCAACATCATAGCTCATCCCCACCAAAGTGTGAATGTTTGTGTGAATGGGTGAATGAACAATTGTGTTGTGAAGCTCCTTGGGGAGTTGTAGAAACCTAAGCAGGCACTATACACATACGGGCTATATAGGATGGCTTGTCATTAGGGCTGCACAATATTAGGAAAACCTGCGATATGCGATAACAGTGATTAATATTGCGATGACGATATAACTTGTGATAAATAAAAACTTAACTCAGGAACTAAAATAATCAGAAACAAAGAAACAAAAAATGACAAAAAATTCATAAAAATGAGAAAAGTAAAAGATGTGATTAAAGGGGAAAAGAAAATGAACAAGAAAAGGCAATCAGTGGATCAGTGGGAAAAGCAGAAAGAGCAGAACAAAGCTAACGCAGGTGTTTGCTAACCATCAGAATTAACTGCCGCCCACCTCGGGGGCGGACATCTAACCTATGAGAACCCACCAAATTGGCCAAATGGGTGAAGAGCTTTATTTGATTTGTTAAAGAAAGCCACATGCTTTCATTTAATAGACAGAATGCATTATGTGTAGCAAACATTTGAGCTGACTTTTCATTGTGATATTTATCTGTTCTTTGTGATATGCATATTGCGCATGCTGATATCGTGATAACGATATATTTGCAATATATTGTGCAGCCCTACTTGTCTTGCTATCAGATTACTGTGATGGCTCCAAAGATAATTTGATCAGATTCTCCTGCTGTGTGTGGTGTGTTCAGAGAGATCTGGTCTTCTCAGAAGCATGTTGGTACTGCTTGGATCATGTCAGGTCTTTCAAACATGTTGCCTTTGTCCGATTTTTGAGGAAAAACAAGTGTCCCACCCGTTTATTGGGTCATGCAGCCAAACAGAGCCAGGTCACAGAAGTGAACGGCACACTCCTCCACCATGTTCATTTTCTACAATCTCACATTTGATCTAGCAAGATTTCTTATCTGACCAGACAATGTTGCATTTTAAATGAGTTAATGTGCAGTTTTTGCCGTGTTGCTGAAAACCACACACAGCAGGACCAAAATTGGTATATCTGTGATTTTTCATCAGAGTGTTTGGTCTTTCTGTTTTAGTCTTTCGACAATTAAAACATCCATCCATGTGATCTGGGCTTAAGTTGAAACCTAGTCTTAGCTCAACAACACGTCCAGCCTAATCACTGAAAAAAAACACGCCTCTCTGAAAAGGTTTAAATCAAATTAAATCTTTATTTCTTTATTTATATCTTGCATGGCAATTCAATGTTCTATGAACACACAGGACCAGGTTAGAATAAATATGGGGTAAAAATGAGAAGACATCAGTAAAACATTCACACATGTCTCTGTGAAGGCTCTCAGTCATCCAGATCATTGTAGTCTAATGAGCTTTGAAAGAAAAGCGTCTGGACTTCTTTGAGTTGCTTGAAGACGTTTCACCTCTCATCCGAGAGGCTTCTTCAGTTATATGGTCAAATGGTGGAGAGTCCCAGATTTAAACCCAGTGGGAGTTTCCCCCCGAAGAGGGAACAAAAGACCCCATGATGATCTTCAACATAAACACATGAGCCAAGGTGTGAGGGTGGGTGTGGGTCCTATTCAGCCAGAGTTTCGGGTGAGCTCATTGCGAAGCCTGGCCTCACCCTATCATGTGAATTCCTGAGGTCAGATGGCCCAGGATATGCATGGGCATTGAGGCATCTGGGAAGGGATCTCAAAACTGGATTATAGATGGCAGACAGTTGGTGTCGTAAACCACCGCCTCTGTTCAAAGATGGTTGCTCACAGTGGACATAAATGGCTTCCTTTACTCCTCTTTCAAACCACCTATCCTCTCTGTCCAAAATGTGAACGTTGGCATCCTTGAAAGAGTGACCTTTGTCCTTTAGATGCAAATGAACTGCTGAGTCCTGTCCCGTGGAGGTGGCTCTTCTATGTTGTGCCATGCGCTTGTGAAGTGGCTGTTTGGTTTCTCCGATGTAGAGGTCTGGGCATTCCTCGCTGCACTGTACAGCATACACCACATTGCTCAGTTTGTTTTTAGGAGTTTTGTCTTTCGGGTGAACCAGCGCACTGAGAACTGTGTGTCCAAGCTTCTCACATGCAGCTGCCCTACTACATGCCCACTCGACCCCATTCCGACTAAGCTGCTCCAAGCTATTGCTCCTACAGTAGCCGCAGCAGTCACACATTTGATCAACGCTTCACTGACATCTGGTACATTTCCCACCCCTCTCAAGCATGCTCAGGTTAAACCGCTGCTAAAAAAACCATCTCTTCCTCCAAATCATGTGGCAAACTACACACCTATCTCTCTCCTCCCTTTTCTGTCCAAAATCATTGAAAGGGTGGCTTTCAAGCAGATCAAATAATCAGAGATTCAGAGAGAATTTTATTGCCAGCGCTCCAGCGAGTCAGAGCATAGGAACTTGGGGGGGGGGGGGGGGGGGGGGGGGGATGCTGGGACCCTGGTTTCCTCAGCGGGAGCAGCCTATGTGGCGCTCGGCCAACTGAATCCACAGGTGGGAGGGAGGTCATGGGAAAGCACAGAGCACAGTGAGTGCCTCCATCTTGATGACCTCGATGCAGAGACCGCAATCTGAAGGCGGTAGGTAGGGTTTTCACAGCATTTGTCTGCATTCCTTCCATCGTGGGGTTTTTTGCACGCAACTCCAAGGCTGCTTATGGCGTCAGATTGGATAACAGGACTTTGTTTGGGTCAGGCAGAGATAATTTTCCTCTCTGCCTTAAAGTCTGTATTGATCATTCAAGTCCTCCAGTGAAGCCAATACGGTGATTAAACATCTCCACACCGTGCGGTGACCCTCTCCAAGATGACATCCATTTTGCGCACTAACACCTGTAACGCAGCTAAGACATTGTCCAGCTTGCGATTCACCTCGAGTAACGTCCCAGTCTGTGAGGTCTCCGCCCGGGCGGTGCCGTCCATGGGTGCGGGTCGCCCTCCAATCACTCCCGTCATCCCAATTTTTCGGAAAACCAGATATCCTCCCACTCCAATCAGAAGAAATCCAGTGATCACCAGGCCAAATATCCACATATCTTCGACGTCCTCAATGGACAGCTGAGAGAGACAGATGACATTCCACTTCTTCCAGGAATTGAGCATGTATCCCGCTGCGTGTGTCCCGTGAGGGCAAGCGCGAGCCCCCTCCTCCATTCTCATCGTAGAAAAAATCTTATCAATTGCGTTGAATGACCAGTTAATTAAATCCATTTCTGAAAAATAGTGATTTCCAGAGGAAATGCAGAGAAGCGCTCTGTAGGCAGACGGGACAAAAAGAGCCTTGGGGAAAAGATAAGATAAGGGAGCAAAGCAGAAACGACTGTGCTCTGTGAGTGCCAGAAGAAGAAAGCCATCACAGAATACCTCTCTCAAAACTGTCTGCTTGACCCTTACCAATCTGGGTTCAAAAAGGGCCACGCCACTGAAACTGCTCTGTTAGCAGTGACGGAATCCTTAAAAGAAGCTAGAGCAACTGCCAAATCCTCAGTGCTTATCCTGCTCGACTTATCGGCTGCATTTGACACTGTCAACCATGGCTTCCTTTTGTCCACACTCTCTAGCATGGGCATCACAGAGAAAGCATATGCCTGGTTTGAATCGTACCTCACAGGACGATCATTCAGTGTATCTTGGCTTGGACAATGCTCTACCGTGCACCATCTTGCCACAAGAGTCCCCCAGGGCTCTGCACTAGGACCTCTTCTCTTTGCCCTATACACCACCTCACTGGGTGAGATCATTCGATCACATGGCTTCTCCTACCATTGCTATGCAGACGACACCCAACTCTATCTGTCATTTCCACCGGACGACCACACTGTCTCTGCACGAATATCAAACTGTCTCTCTGACATATCAAAATGGATGAAATCCCACCATCTCCAACGCAACCTCTCTAAAACTGAATTACTTGTCATCCCAGCAACACCAACCATACAGCACAATATCTCAATCCAAAATGACTTCCTATCTCTGGCTCCTTCAAAGACAGTTCGAAATCTGGGTGTTGTGATTGATGAACACCTGACCTTTAAAGATCATGTTTCCTCTGTTGCTCGTTCATGCCGCTTTGCGCTGTATAACATACGAAAGATCAGACCATACCTAACACAACATGCCACCCAGCTCCTGGTGCAATCTACTATAATCTCCCGCTTCGATTACTGCAATGCCCTTCTAACTGGTCTTCCAGGCTGTACTGTGAGACCTCTTCAAATGGTCCAGAACACGGCGGCGAATCTGGTCTTCAATCAGCCAAAAAGAGCACACGTCACCCCTCTGGTCATGGAGCTCCACTGGCTACCGCTAGCAGCACGCATCAAATTCAAATTGCTAACACTAGCATACAAAGTCCGAGATGGTACGGCTCCCATCTACCTGAATCCTTTTGCAAAGGCTTACGTCTCGGCCCGGCCGCTCCGGTCATCACAGGATCGTCGGCTAGCAGTGCCTACACCACGCTCAGGACAATCCAGACTCTTCTCATGCATCATTCCACAAATGTGGAATGACCTACCAAGCACTACCAGAACAGGGGCTTCCTTTTCGATTTTCAAGAAACTCCTGAAGATCCTGCTCTTCAGAGAGCATCTTCTAAACTAGCACCCTCCCTGCACCTGTCCCCCTCTCCACTATCCACTCCCTGTTCCCTCCTCTCCATGATTCATCATGCTGCCTCACTGCCACTTACAACTGACTGGAAATTGTTTGTTGTTGTTGCTGTTAGCCTCAAGTGCACCATCCCTGCACCCCACCCCCCCCCCACCCCCCCGTCCACTCCTTTGTTCCCTCCTCGCAATGATTGATGTCAAGTTGTTGTTAGCCTCAAGGGCAACATGCCGATTATCACTTGTAAGTCGCTTTGGACAAAAGTGTCTGCTGAATACATAAACATAAACATTTGTTGCACTGCTCTTTTTATTCTGTAATTTTAGCCTTTATGTGATTTAGTAGTACTTTTTTTTACCTGTACCGTCAATCAGTTCATGTTTGTGAAAAGCAACTAGTTCTGAATATTTTACCTGGTAAAAGAAAGGTTAAAAATAAACAAACATAATTTAATGTATTTTTTTATTGTTTTTCTGTTGCTTTACTTTGCAAATGCTCATTAATCTTTCTCTGTCCACAGGCTGGGTTTTTCAAGAGCAAATACAACAAAAAAATGGCCACAAATGCAGAAGAGGCTGAACCAGCGAATGCCTGAGGTTCACCCACAGATGGAAAACAAAGAACACACACACACACACACACACACACACACACACACACACACACACACACACACACACACACACTCCACCTTTTCTTCGATCTTTCCATGTTATCACTGCTGTGCTGATGATTTGCAGTTAGACATTCCCTTCTCTACTGTCAGTATTTACAGGCCTGTTCCTCTGATGTTGGACCGCTTCCAGGATTTCACACTGCAGTTTTATGGTCTAATGTCGAGTGGCAGTGCGAAGATAAATGATCTAGACATCTGGTTTGACCCAGTACCTTCTTTTCATTCACACCTCAAGTAGGTAAATAAAATAGACGTTTTTAAGCTCAGGAAACTTGCTAGAATCCAGTCATTGAGAACACTGAAGTCCTGAAACATGCATTTGTCTCATCTCGGTTGGACTATTTTAATGATCTTTTCTCTGGTTGGCCTCAGAAAAGTGTTACAATTGGTTCTGAATGTGGCTGGCCACATTCTTACAGAAAAAAAAACTCCTGTGGTAAAATCTCTTTCCTTGTCCAGCTCAGGTGACTACAAGGTCTATATAGCCAACCTTCATTCCTATATTCTGACTGGGGACTTGACGTCTCAGGACTGTCAACAATTTCAAATATTAGACAAGCATTCTTCTTTTGAGGTTTTTAAAATAAAACTAGAGACCTTTGTGTTTTCTTGATCTTTCAGCAGCTGAGTGGGTACTTAGATATAATTTTTACTTTCATAGATATTTTAGCAATGCTGTTAATTTGGATGTTTTTATTTGTATTGTTTTTTTTATCACTGTTTTTACCTGCCTTATTTCATATGTTCAGTATTTTGTAAAAAAGGGCAATACAAATAAAGTTTTAATAATTTAGTGTGTCTCTTTTATTCTCATCATAAATAATTTCAAATAGATATTTTCAGATATTTTGAAAATACCACATCTTCCCAACTCGAGTAGAAGTATTACTGAGAACATGCTGAAACTGAGTACCTATGCCTAGTACTAATAAAAAACATTGACCTGTAGAGGTTAGGTACAAAAGAAGAAAAAGACAAATGTTTGTTTTGCATTTATTTCTTTATTTTAACATTCAATAAGTTTCATCTAATAGCAGGTCCTACTCAAGATATGACCTGTCAGCTTGAAAAAAAAATCACATTATAACACAAAATGATCTCAAATGTATCATCAGCATGAACATCTTAAAAAAAATTACAGACTTCATGAGGGCCGACTTGACAGTTCTCTAGAGGTCTGTGCAGTCTGCCATTTTTACAGGTGAGAGTGGGTTCAGTCTGTGACAGTTCATTGGACAAATGTCCAAGGGTCTGGAAAAGGCATGGGGGATGTTATACTGTACTGCCTGAAAAGTTTTTTAGCCTAATGCTTTTCAGGGTGTGTCTGCGTTGATGTTACTCTTGAGAGGGATATCCTAACAGCAGTGTGCTATTGTCTGCATGCAGTTAAACCACAGAGTCAACTAATGTTTAAATGTGTCTTATCTATTTGTCCCAGAACACCAATCAAAAAAGTTTCATGCTACAGACTGAAGGGGCGAGTGCTGCAACGCCTCCAACATTTCCTCTAGAAGTGCCATTTGGGTTCTACAGAATGGGAGTCATTTAGTTATTCTGAATGGGGAAAGCACGATGGATCGGACCATTAATGTGATTTTATTCTGGTCTGGTAAGAAAAGTTTAGGTCTCTTTGTTTTCTAATATTATCTAATCAGATTTTTTGTTTTGCACCATCAAATTTAATCCAGCAACTTGTCAGAACCATGAAGAAATCAAGATAGTCAATAAGTGGATCTTTCAAGAGCTATTGTGTTTGCTCCTCCAATATGGAAACAGCAGCCAAAGACTTTATTTTTTAAAACATCTCATAGTCACACTGTGGCACTAATGTTACAGTTGAGCAAAAATACTTAAATATGCTTAAAGGCAGTACAGGATTTTGTTCTTTAGAGACATTTCCCACTCTGCAGTCATCATAGTGAGGTTTTCTGCACCTCGTCTTCATTCACCATGTCCTTAGACTTAAAAGCATGTTTTCATGTAGCTGTAAGTTTACTGTAAGATTAATCTGTTGTGATGCGATTTTTTTAGAATATTTTTCTTAATTGATAGTAAAAAAGTTACAGCAGCCATTTAGGAAACAAAGTAGAAGTATAATGCAACTAAATAGTTTAGAAAAAAAAATCGTAAGATGTTTAAAAATATGATGAGGCTTCAAATTTTGCTGCCATGGTAATTATGCCAAGTTCTTAAGTAAAACACATTTGGAATCACATTTAGATGAAAACTTAGGTTAGAACATCTCTGTAAAAAAGTAAAAAAACATTTAAGTTTTGGAAATTGTTAATTACTGTGATGGGAATAACCTGAAGACCTGGAAATTCAGCCAAACACAGCAGTAAAACATTAAAGAATGTTTATTTTTTATTTAAAATGTGGGTAAATGAGGGAATCGCAGAATAATCTGCTGATAGGAAAACTGGAGACAGAGCAGCATATGCTGCAATGACAGGGAGAGGGAGCGGGACTGTCTCAGTGCCAGCTATGGGGCGGTCTGTGGATTAAGCGCCTTTCCTCAAAAAGAGAAACAACTAGTACAGCCCACAGAAGTTCATGAATCCAAAATCCAATGTCACAGTGGAGGTACAGGCAAAGTCATACACAGGCAGGCAGAAGTCAGCAATACCGATCAGGGGGTTGAGCAGGAATCAGTAATCACAGTTCAGAGCCAAGGTTGGGGTCCAGATGACAGATGGGCAATAGAATCTGTGAGGGGCAAGGCAGACAAAATCCATGGACAGAAAACATGGTCAAAAGTCAAAAGGCTTGGTTGTAAATATTGCTGAAGTCTCTACTGGCAAAAGGCTGCCAATAATCTGGCAGGGAGACAGAGCCTGAGCTTTGCTTAAAAGGAGGAGTGAACAGGTGCAGCAAGGAGACAATTAGGCAGGGCTCAGGTGAACTGTGTGAAGCTGATTAACAGGAGGGTTGCCACCCGCCATTTAACCGGAAAGGAAGAAGAAGAAGAATGATTAACAGGAGGACTGGTAGAAAGGAAAAAAACAAACATGACAGGCATGGCCGAACAAGGTGGAATCATTACAATTACTGCATCTATGTCAAAGTGGGTAATAATAGTTTTCACTAATAGAATGGTGCACAAGAGATATTTCTGCATCCCTCTTCCCCTAAAAACGTTGTATAATAGAAATTGGGATATGTTTTTTTTTTATCTCACAGTGTTAACAGCTGCTCTTTGCTTTAATATTGATCCTGCTGCTTGGAAGTCTTTCAGTGACTCTGCTGGGGGTTTTGGCTACCAGGTGGTGCAACGGCAATTGAGGTGAGTCATTGTTGTGTAAAATGTTGTGCAACAGGTGCCATGACTTTGAAATTTACATTTATTCTTTTTAACAGTACCTCAGCTTGTGAAACTAATGATTTAGCAACAGGAACAAAAATGTGCTCCCCAATGTAAGATAACATCCATGCCTCTTTAGTCTACCGCACCAAAACCTTTGGTTTTGCTTCCTCAGTTTGCTCATCAGTGCCCCACTTGAGCAGCACTCGAGTAACGGAAGGGGAGTAGTATTTGAATGTACCACCGAGAAATGCCAAGAGTTACTTCTGTCAGGTAGGAATAATCTTATTACTAACAAAACTTTTTTTTTCCATTTTAACAAGCCCCTAAAAGGCTCATCTGGCTAATCCTAAACCCAACTCGTTAACAGTCACACCTAAAATGCCAAAAATAAAATGCATACGTGAAATAAAGTAGCCATGGTTCTCATAAGCAAAATATAATAATAACGTCCATAATTATTGAGAGGTTTAGATTCAACAGAGAAAGTTTCACAGTCGTAGAGAGTGGTTTAGTGTGTGTGGTCATCACTTTGAAAGATCATTTTACTTTATTAATAATAATAATACATCATACATATATAGCACCCTTTAGGACACTCAGAGATGCTTGAATGAATTTAGTTTCTTTGTTTTTAACATTTTCACAGAAGAAAAAACTCCAGTCAACATGTCTCTTGGTTTGGCGATGGCAAGTGATCCCATGACCCAAAACACTTTGGTGAGATTTTTAAAATGAAACATCTCAAAAATGTTATTTTGCAGATAAACAGTGAAAATTTTCAGAAACATCAAAATAATAAAACCTAAAAAATACTTTTCAGGCATGTGGTCCAACTATTCCTAAAGACTGCAAAAGTATCACCATGTACAAGGGTTTGTGCTTTGAGATAGATCCTCAGAACAGATTTGGAAACTCTTATCCGCCTTCCACGGAAGGTAATAGAATTATATCTACAGGATTATTCAAGATGGTTCATTGAAGAGTTCACCATAAAAAACATACAGGCAGTAAAAGATGGCTTAGACATTTATTTTATTTAAACTCTGTTTTCTTTTCAACAGAGTGTCAAAACATGGCTGATATCGCGTTTCTTCTGGATGCCTCTGGCAGTGTGGCCGCAGAAGATTTTATTAAAATGAAGACCTTTGTGAAAAATCTAATTAGTTCATTCCTGAGAAGAGAGACAGAAGCCACAAAGGTGCTCAAATACACACACAGTTCAAATAGACACACTCTAGACATTAAGATTGATTTTTTTTTCCATTTTCTTGCAGTTTTCCGTCACACAGTTTTCATCAAAAACTACAATTCATTATTATTTTGATACATTTCCGTCAGGAAACTGGAAATATCACATTGATAATTTAAAACAAATTATTGGAGCAACAGCAACAGCTGCAGCTATCAAAAAAGTTGTGTAAGTACCTCTGTAACCTCAACGTAATACATGCTTTCAGTATAATTTATTAAAGTTACAGTCCCGTGACATTTGTTCTCTGCATTTGACCTATCACCTGGGGGAGCAGTGAACTGCAGCTGTGGCTGCAATCTGGAACTATTTGGTGGTTTAACCCCCCAATCCAACTCTGTAATGCTGAGTCACAAGAGGAGAGGCCTTTTTTTAAAAAAGTCCTTGGTTTGACCCAACCAGGATTTGAACCCCAATCTCCCAGGGCAGACACTCATGCCACTAGGCTACAGACCTGGTTGTTATGATTTATGAATTTATGAAACAATCTAAATAAATATAACCTTTGGTATACATTAAATGATAATGTTAAAGATAAGTTTTGCAACCACTGTGCTTCTAAACCATAGAGAACGTAATAGAACAAAAACAGCTCTGGATTTCTACAGGAACCATTAGATTGCGGCTGGCTTGGAAAGTTCCCTCAGGGTGAAGGCAGTCCCAAATTTAAATGATTTAATATATTTTCATATTGCTGAAAATATTCAAGAACAATTTAAAAATAAAATGTAAATAGTCAAATGCCAAACATGAAATCCTCCTCGAGCAAGCTGCACTGATGCTTATGCCCTATGTCAAGCATCTGTCACCATCATTCCCTTAAGGTTAATTTATACTTCTCCATCAGCTCCACGAGGAAGAGACTCGCACAAATGGATGGAGACGTTTTGCCTTCAGACTTCTCCGTCTCCTGGAGAGTGTTGCAAAGCAATTCCCTGCCAGGACAACAGAGGGTGTAGCGCTGTTCTCTGGTATCCTGTCATGTATCCGGTCCACGATAGTGTGTTTATATTGTGTTTTTTGTATTTAAGAGACTTTTTAAACGCAGACAAAATTGTCCCTCATCTTCCTCCACCTCTTCATGCACTTGCCACATTTAAACCCACGTTTCCCGTCATTTCCATCCACGAATAAAATGCTTGCTCCGTATCTTTTCACTCCTCCAGTCACGCGAGAATAAAACGTTCACATTTTCAGAGTTTTTCCGCGAGGTATTCTTCAAGCTGCTCCGTGTCTGCTGCTCTATATCCTCTGATCTCTTTATGTTTTTGAGTGCGCAAAGGCGGCACTGTAGACGACAGCGTCATCCTGACCAATCACAAGCTTGCATTCTCCATCTCGACGGACGAATGTTTAGAAAAGAGTGCTCCTTCCATCCTTGCAAGCCTGTCGGAGAGCCCTCGAAAGGATGGGTTATCGCGTTCCGTGCGTCCGTCCAAACGCAGATGGAGAAGTATAAACTAGGCTTAAGCACCACCCAGAATCCTGACATGCTCCCACCAGGAAAATAAACCGTCACCTTCTCTGAAGGGAGTGGTGCACGGTTAAAACAATCTTGAAGCAATCAGCCGTAACGAGGAGCCCACTTTGTTCAACACATTTCAACTAAACAATATGTAAAAGTTTCCAAAAGGAATGCATCCATGCCTTTCTCTCTTGTAATTGTACTTCTTCTAGCAATATGTTCTTTCGTTCCTTATGTTACAATCCTTACTAGTAAAAATATACTGACAAGTATTCAAAAATCTTTTGACAGGAGTGATGTCTTCTCACCAGACAGGGGTTCCAGGCTAAAGGTGAAAAAGATTTTGATAGTCATTACAGACGGACAGTCTACTGACAGCGACCTAGACAAAGCGATACAATTAGCTGACAATAAAGACATTGCTCGATTTTCTGTTGGGGTAAGATACATCTAACTAATTTAATGGGTTATTTGTGTTTTAGTCTATTTTGGCATGACTAAAGATTTTAGGTATGAACTGACTTGCATTCTTTTTACACCTCTAGGTGGGAGAAGCATTTACAAGCCTTGATGCAATAAAAGAACTCAAACTGATTGCATCTCAACCGTCTGAAAACTTTATGTTTCAAGTTGAAAACTTTGAAGCGCTTGAAAAAATTCAAGGGAACTTGCAAGACAGAATTTTTTCTATTGAAGGTATAGATGTCATCTTGCAATTTCAAATTAAAAGCACAATGAAATCATTACCAGACATATATGGTGGAGTAGATCCTCAGTCATTCAGGGCATGTTAAGAGGGTAGAACTCCAAAAAACTACTGTTTTAAAGATAATGTTTTGTCATAATCGGCTACTTGAGTTTTTCATGGAGGCTCAACATGAAACTAGTCTCCTACACCTATCTCCTGCATTTGCTTCTGAAAGAAAACCATCCATCCATCCATACATTTTCATCCGCTTATCCAGAGTCGGGTCGCGGGGGCAGTAGCCTAAGGTGAGAGGCACAGACTTTCCTCTCCCCAGCCACTTGGGCCAGCTCCTCCGGGGAAATCCCAAGGCGTTCCCTGGCCAGGTGAGAGACATAGTACCTCCACCGTGTCCTGGGTTTACCTTTAGGTCTCCTCCTGGTTGGACATGCCCGGAAAACCTCACCAGGGAGGTGTCCAGGAGGCATCCTGACCAGATGCCCGAGCCACCTCAACTGGCTCCTCTCGATGTGGAGGAGCAGCGGGTCTACTCCGAGCCCCTCCTGAATGACCGAGCTTCTCACCCTATCTCTAAGGGAGAGCCCAGCCACTCTTCGGAGAAAACTAATTTTGGTCACTTGTATCCGCGATCTCGTTCTTTCGGTCACTACTCAAAGCTCATGACCATAGGTGAGGGTAGGAACGTAGATCGACTGGTAAATCGAGAGCTTCGCCTTCTGACTCAGCTCTCTCTTCACCACGGCAGACCGGTACAATGCCCGCATCACTGCAGATGCAGCACCAGTCCGCCTATCGATCTCACGCTCCAGTTTTCCCTCACTCGTGAACAAGACTCCGAGGTACATAAACTCTTCCACTTGGGGCAGGACCTCATCCCTGACCCGGAGAAGGCATTCTACTCTTTTCTGAAAGAAAACAGATGGAGAAATTCTAGGATCAGAAAAGCCAGACGGATCAACTTCACACTATCACTTAACATTCATGGACACACCCATCTTGACTCTCAATGGAGAAGGCTGTTGCTGGTTTAGCCTCCAGGAATCAGATGACAGCATCCTGACTAAAAGCTAACCCTTAGCATTAGCAACTCCACTACAAAGGAAAACTCTTCCAGACTATCCACGTTGCAGAGCAACGAGTGATAGAGAAATGTTGCTGTTAGCCAATTGGGAAAGGGCCTAAGTATTTTGGTGATGCCATATTAGATGCTATGTTTCTGTAACCCTTATTTGTTGATAGGTGCCGGCTCTCGGGGGTACATGGAAGACGGGCTACAGTTGTGATTTGTAATCCTCTTTTTTGCCGAACAGCAGGACAGAACCAAAAACTCCCACACCGCAGCTCGCCGCTGCTTCCTTAGCTACCTCTTTCTCCCTCTCTCTCCGCCTGTCTTCTCCTCAACCACCAGCAGGTGGTGGTGTAAACAGATCAGTCTCTTCTTTTAATACAGAACTCAAATATACATAAACACAAAAATTACTGTACTGCCCAAAATAATGAAATGCCCAGCACATCAATTATATAAACCTTAAATAAAGATTACATTTCTTTCTATGGGAGCCTGTAGGGACAAAATGTGCTTACTGATTACTAACAAGCAGTTACAAAAACTTTTGCAATTCGTAAACAATGTTGTTTCTACTTATTCTGCTTTACCCCGCAATCCACTGATTTCCCTCTTTCCTATTCATTTTCTCTCTTCCTTTCCTTACATAATTATTTTTTTAATCACAATTGTAATTATTTGTCATTTTTTAAATCATTTTTTGAAAACATTTTTATACGTTAATTGTTATAATTAAAATAATAATTCTTGAGAGGCGCTACATGAAAGATCCTTTTCTTTCTTTTACACAATTACCTCTTTGCTCGTTGCCAGTGATGAAAGGGAGTTGGATGTGCTTGTTATTTTGCTGGAGGTTGAACGATCTAGCAAAGTACTCCCAGGGATTTTTGACCCTAATGGCCATCCGTTGGTAAGGTCTTAGTCGAGCACAAAAACACCGCTTGCTAGTAATGACTTAGGTATGTACTGCCCCCATCTCCAGGGAAAACACACTGTTACTTTAAACAGCCAGTTAGAAGCATAACGTTTGAAAATGGTGAAAACACGAATCCTAAAACAAAGATTCTCTTTAGTAAAACTACAAAGTTTCATAAAAGCTTTCAAGAAACATAAAATACAGCCAAATTCTTTTGACTTCACAGGATCTAAAGTCAGTGGAGAGACACTGAAACTGGAAATGTCTCAAGAGGGGTTCAGAACAGCTATCTTACCAGGGGTAAAGAAACACACTAGAAATAAGGCTAGACTTAACTACAGTTTTACACGTTTAAAAGCAACAAATGTCCAAAACCAATGATGCATTTACTCACAATAGGCTATTTTCTGCTCACATCACAGGAGGTTCAGATGTCTATTGTTGGTGCTAATGAGTGGAGAGGAGGCTACAGGAAATACTCACTTCAGAATGCCGTGCTTACAGGCTCATTTGAACCACAATCTATAGGGCCTGACAGTTATCTTGGTAAGAAAATTACAGTGAAACCAGATCATATTTCTGATTATGTAACAACACACCTCAACGGCAAGTACAAATAGTAATTAATTTGCAAGTAATTAATTTCTCATCATAGAGCACTTTCACACATACAGTAATATTGAGTAGAATCACATGCTAACATATAACCTGTCACATAATTAAATGTGCTCAACTAAGCATTTAAATGGTTATTTTTACACATTGTTTTGACAACTCAACCATACAATTTCAGGTTATTCCATGGCAGTAGCTCCAACTCAGTCAGGCATGTTGACAGTTCTAGGTGCTCCGCGGTACAAACACAGAGGAGTTGTGATCACTGTTTTCAGAGATGATTTTCACCAGCAAATAAACCCTTATCCAGAACAGGTAGGTATTTGTAGCTTGATAGTACTGTAAGAACAATGACAAAGTTTGGGTTAATATAATCAGTTTCTTCACTGTTTTGTAAATCTTTCACTTCTAACTTTTCTTTACTGCTTCAGAGTGGGGAATATTTTGGGGCAGAGGTTTGTGCCGTGGATGTGAATTCTGACAGCTACACTGATCTAATCCTCATATCTGCTCCCATGTACAAAGACGACGACAGAGAGGGACGAGTGTATGTTTGCAAGCTGACTGGTTTGGTAAATAACAGCCATTGTTAATGAATTCATTTATATATTTTTCCACTTTAAGAAAAAAATCCTCATTGTTTCATCTTCACCAGAATATCGACTGCCACTTTGATTCTCCATCACAACTAATAATACTAAGAGGAGATCCATCCCCAAAAGGAAGGTTTGGATCTTCTCTTGCTGCTCTGCCTGATCTAAACAGAGATGGATTCAATGATCTGGTAGTTGGAGCTCCTCTGGAGAATGATGGCCAAGGTAGCATCTACATATTCAATGGAGAAGGAGGTGAAGGGATCAATCCTACCTACTCACAGGTGAGTAAATAACAGCAACGTTCGGTAACGCTTCCTTTTACATTCCCCTAATTACTAAGGACGTACATGGTAATTACATTAATTAAAGTGTGTAATTGTACAAAAGTGTAATTATTGTGTAAAGCAGTATTTACTGGGAATGATCAATAAAATAAAAACCTGTGTTACATGGTAACAACTGTTCAAGAACTCAGAAACAAATTACACTACTATGTAATTACCATAGGAATTGGGGGACTGTAAAAGGAAGCATTACCCAACGGTCATCTCATGCTAATTTTCTTTTTTTCATCCTCCTTCTTCTCACCAGAATTTCAAGTGTTGAAAATGAAAAGATTTATGTCCTAATGAGGAATTTTTACACTTTCACAGAAAATGGCTGCCTCTGATGTGAAATCAGGACTAACGTTTTTCGGTTTGTCCATCAGTCCACGGTCTCATGATCAGAGTGGAGACACACTGCCTGACTTAGCAGTGGGTTCAGTGGGAACAGTTGTTTTACTCAGGTGACTTTGGTTTTATCTTCATCTTTCAAAAATATTCTTGAAATGGGTATTGTCGGATTTGTATTAACTAAGCTAAAAGCAAAAAAATTCCTGGGGTCCTAACTCTAGACGTGTTTCTTTATAGGTCCAGACCTTTGGTGATGGTTAATGCCACTGTGTTGTTCAGCCCAAATGAAATCCCAACTCAAAACCCAGACTGTTCAAAACCATTGGAAAGTACAGCTGAAATCTGCTTTACCATGAGAGGATTGTCTGGAATCGATGCAGGTTCTTCCATCTCAAATAGTAGCTCATTCATTCTTAATTCTGTTCAGTTGTATTTGTTGTTGCATTATTTGTCTTCCACTGCCACTGGTCTGGGTCACTGGGTAGCAGCACTAGGATCCTAGCCTGTCCTTCTCCAGTCAGTTTTAACAGCTTCCTTATCCAGTCTAAAGATATAATCCTTCCAGTATGTCCTGGGTTGACCAGACCCTCCAGTAGGACACATATGAAACACCTCCCATGTGAGCTGGCCAGGAAGAATCCTGACCAAATGCACAAATCACCTTTGCAAACCTCTCCATGTGCAATAATTATCTTGATTATCTTATTATAGTTACCAAACTGCCTCATAAGTTAAATAATAAAACAAAACACATGATTACATCCGGCAGGGTACTACACCCAATCATGCACCTCCAGGTCAAGCTTTCACTTTCTCCCTACCCCCAGCCGGTCTACACGTTCCCAGTACGGTGTCATCCAGCACATATCCCAGAATTCCTACAAAAAGGTGGTTACTTTAAGTTGCTATTTGGGGCATAAGTACAAATACTGATCCATATGCCTTCTCCAAACCAAAGGCACAGTACTGCTATTATTTTGTACACAAAAGATCATCACAACATGCATGCAGGGCAAGGCAAGGAAACTTTTTTTAATATAACACGTCATACGCAGAAAGAAATGTTCTTTTCAGGTGCAAGGAAAACAAACTGTGAAAACATAAATGTTTTAAAAAGAAAAAAGGTCTCTGGGCTAACAAAATGCCCACCCCAACCACTTGCAACTCACTCAGAGAACCTCCAACCATAAAAAGATTTCAACACTTTGCAGGACTTGGGTTCCAGTGGCCACGCTACATGTTAAGGCGACTTTGATAAAATGAAGCCAGTAATATTCAAGCTATAGTTCCTATGCCAGAGGTGACATCATACCTGCCAGTTTTTGTGTATTGGGAATGGTCCACCAGGGCCCCCACCTTAGTATGCTACCAAATCTACATGGAACCCAACCATTCATTTTCTTCCTGCAGGTGATGGTCCACAGGTGGACATGCGTCCACACAGGCTGGGCTGTGTGTATTTGTTTTTAATAAAATACTTGTATGTTTCAGCTCAAGCACAAATTGGTTACACTTTAATACTGGATGCAACTCGAAGGGCTCCAAACAACAGAGCTTACATCACTAAGGAAAAGAGAGACATTACAGGATCGGTTAATGTCGACATACATGGACAAATGTGCAAAAGTGAAAAATTCTTTATCAAGGTAAAACTGAATGAAATTAAAATGACCCATTTAAGAAAATCAGCATTTCAAGAAGACAATACATTTACTGAATACAAATTTATTAACCTCTAAATTCTCTTTCAGCCCTGTCCAGAAGATGCTCTCAATCCAATTGAAAATAAGCTCAAATTCACTTTTGATGGTTTACCCTCGAAGACGAATCTCAGACCAAGTCTCTCCCAGCAGGTTCAAACAAAAACCTTTCATCCAGTGAGTGACTTTTATACACAGTATATAAATCTGTTAACGCAGTCTTTGCATGTTCGAAAAGGTTTTCATTGATTCTGCATTTGTAACGCTTTGTAGTAAGATAAAACCAAACTTGTTATTTTAAAAACATTTATTTAAATGCTACAGAGCCCCCTAAAGGATCATTGGTAAACAAAATAAAGATACTGTTTCATTTGGCCCAGACAATATGTTGTACTCTGAGAATGCAAGTCAGTTTATCCAATTTAATTCACATGAGAAACGTTCTGATGCACATGAGAAACGTTCTGATGCACGTTAGAAACGTTCTGATGCATGTTAGAAACGTTCTGATGCACACGAGAAACTTTCTGATGCACACGAGAAACTTTCTGATGCACATGAGTAACTTTCTGATGCACATGAGTAATTTTCTGATGCACGTGAGAAACTTTCTGATGTACGTGAGAAACTTTCTGATGCACATGAGTAATTTTCTGATGCACGTGAGAAACTTTCTGATGCACGTGAGAAACTTTCTGATGCACGTGAGTAATTTTCTGATGCACGTGAGAAACTTTCTGATGCACGTGAGAAACTTTCTGATGAACGTGAGTAATTTTCTGATGCACGTGAGTAATTTTCTGATGCAGGTGAGTAACTTTCTGATGCACGTGAGTAACTTTCTGATGCACGTGAGTAACTTTCTGATGCACGTGAGTAACTTTCTGATGCACGTGAGTAACTTTCTGATGCACGTGAGAAACTTTCTGATGCACGTGAGAAACTTTCTGATGCACGTGAGAAACTTTCTGATGCACGTGAGAAACTTTCTGATGCACGTGAGTAACTTTCTGATGCACGTGAGTAACTTTCTGATGCACGTGAGTAACTTTCTGATGCACGTGAATAACTTTCTGATGCACGTGAATAACTTTCTGATGCACACGAGTAATTTTCTGATGCACGTGAGAAACCTTCTGATGCACATGAGTAACTTTCTGATGCACGTGAGAAACTTTCTGATGCATCACCAGATCCCAACTTAGTAATATTTTGCCATAATAGCAGTATTATTAACATTACACTTACCGCCAACAGATTAGGTTTGAAATCAGCTGTGGTGTTGACAATGAGTGTGTCGATGAACTAAACATGGATTTCAATTTCACCAGGTGAGCATAACAAATCTCAACTTTCATGTGTGCCTTTTGAACATTCACAAAAAAAAAATCCTATTATCACAAAAATTCTTGCATGAACTCTAGGTCAAACCTAAATGTCAAGCTTTTTATGCGTCTGATAAGATTTGACCAACTATTGCTGAAACTACCAAAAGTTTAATGCAATTTATTTGCATGAACTTTTGGGTAAAAGAAGTTTCATCAATATGCGAAATCAAATAACAGAGATCAACACACTGCTTTTATTTTCCCATTAGATATCAGGGTAAATGCACATGTTGCAGATACATCGGAACCCTCTGGACAGCCAAGCCCAAAAGGGTTTGGTTCAGTATCACCCCCACAACACAATCATCTTGCTTTAACACCCCAAATCTGCCTAAAATGGCAAAAACGTAAATGGTATATACACAGCACCTTCAACCCCCCAAGCTGCTTTAGAATACAGTCATTCGCTCATTCACACACTCGTGGTAATGAGCTATGTTGTAAGCTGTTCTGGGGCAGCTGCTGTAAACTGGCACACTGGTCCCTCTGACCATCACTATCAGGCAAGGCTGGTGAAGTGTTCTGTCCAGGGGCACGGCATTGTGAAACTCTCCAGTTAGCAGCTGGGCTTGGAATCCACCGATTACCTCTTCCTTATTCATTTTCACTTGTCCTTTCCTCACATTTTTTTTTTACAATTTCTCACTCCTCTTTTTTTTTTAGATTTTTGTTCTCGTAAAGTGCCTTGTGATTTTTATTTTGAGAGGCGCTATATAAAGGAGCATTTCTTCTTCTTCTAAAACAACCTGTTAGCAGTTACCTAACCGGAGGGTTTCTTCATCACAGCATGTGCTAATTTCTCTGTGGTGACAAAATAAATGCTGTATTGTTACAACTTCCTAATAAAATTCCACGTAGTTTCTTTACTTTTCCCATTACTTGTCCAGGAGTTTGATTAGTTTGCAAAGGCGTAAAGGTCTTGTTCTTGTGTAGAGGCATTTGCACAACTATGTTCCAGTTATGACAGTTCCAGCAGACAGAACGGGAGTTTATCTACATTTGAGGCATTTAGTAAAACTTCAGTAAATGATCGTATATAATAAGTTTATCTCCAGAGGGGTGGGATGACACATTTTATACCCAAGTTCCCAATACTAATTTACACAAAAGATTAGAGCCACTGAAAAAAAAAGATGAAAAAAAAGATAAATATGAATTTAATCTCTGACCTTTTCCTCATAATTCTGACTTATTAAATACTATTAAAGTTAGATTTCAGGGAAAAAAAAAGCCAGAATTCTTTTCTATTCATTTTCTTCTTTTGAGTGGCCCTAATCCTCTTCTATCCATCCATTTCCTGTACCCAGGGTTGCGGGTGGGGTACACCCTAGACAGGTTGCCAGTCCATCTCAGAGCCTAATCCTCTTCCGTAATACTTATATATAACAAAAGCGAGTAAAAACTTACAGCAGTCCTTACATGGATGTAACTTACTTGTTATTTTTGTTCTCTTATCTTAACGTTTCAGATCCTCAGAGGTTAAAGTTGGCATAGATGAGCTTTTAAACGTGACCGTCTCAGTGGACAACAGCGGGGAAAACTCTTACAACAACCACATCATTCTCACATACCCAGTGGGACTCTCCTACAGGAAGTTTACATCTCTACAAGTGAGGAATCTGCTCCAAGTCTGGTTGAGTTCATCTCTGATCAGAGGCTCCAGCAGGTCACTAGGATGTTTTGTCTTTAAAACAGGGAAGAATTGAGTGTAACTCCCTGGACAGTGAAGATGGCGTTGCAAGAGGAAAGACAGACTGCAGTGTTGACAAACCTATTTTCAAAAGTAACTCTAAGGTTGGTTTGTTACGCTGCTGACTCACTGCTGCTCAGACAGAGTCTAACAGGAAGTCGTCTCATTCTTCCCTTTTGTTTCATTTTAGGCGATCTTCATCGTTTCCTATGGGTTCAATCCCAGACGATCACTTGACAACAAGAAAAAGATCTTTATTGCTGCAAATGCTACAAGGTAATGTTTATCACATATTCCTTTGTTTGATGCAATTTACTTAGTTGTAAATGACCTGTCTTTGTATAGGCTCTTCTTATAGTTCTACAACCCCCAAAGGCACTTCACAATCAGTCATCCACCCATTCACACTTTGGTGATGATAAGCTACAATGTAGCCACAGCTGCCCTGGGCCGCACTGACAGAAGCGAGAACTGTTCTAAAAACACTTATATAAACATTTAATGTCTGTTTTAGTGGGAACCAGCAGCATTCTGCATCTAGCAACCTCTATAAGAAGAAGGAGATTGGTGTAAAGTTCAGTATCTTTATTACCATTGAAAGGTTGGTTGGTTTTCTACTGGTTCAAGCTAAACTAACTCTTTGTAAAATAAATGTGAGATGATTTCAAATATAATGAACTCTGAATACTCACTAAATGTTTATTGGCTGTCCAGCTCCCTCAGCTACAACAATTTCACAATCGGAAAAAGCAATCAGCAAAAAACATTTCAGCAATTAATAGAGGTAATGGATTGCTTTTATTATAGACTAGACCTATTTTCTCATCAGGTTTATTGTCTACTGCTCAGACCTTAATGCCCTCCTCCCTTTTCTGTCAGGTCACTAATAGTATCAGAGCTCTTACTTTTACCGTGGTGATCCGAGTTCCTGTCAAACTCAGAGACAAAGACATTTGGATGGACATGGACAGTTTGCAGGTAAAACATTTACATTGTGATGTATATAAAACAATGATCAAAAGGGGGAAAGTGATAGGAGAGACTTAAATAAAGAGTGATTTTAGATTACAGACTGTGAAAGAATCAAATATGAAGAACCCGTCGTCACAGATTTTGCTGCACAGATAAAGAAAACAAAAGTTGTGGTAAGAATAAACAACCTGTTGGAAACTATGATTAAAAATGAGAAGTATAATGATCTATGTTTGAGTTTGTCATCCCACAGGACTGCTCTGTAGCTAGGTGCAGAGTGTTCAGGTGCAAAAGGTTCATGGAAAAGAACGAGAAACGAACACATAAGATCTCTGCAAACCTCAGCTCAGGGTGGATAGAACAGGTAATCAATAGGTGATGAGTACCGGTCATTATCAACTCTTCAGATGTGAGAAGAACGTTCTTTAGTAAGAAACACAACACTCACTCATGTCTTTCTCATGTTTTCAGATTGGACTCCCATCTGCCAAATTACTGCTGACCAGTACAGCCAGTCTAGAATACGATGCAAACCAGTACATCTTCTTCTCAGCAGCCTCTAATTACACACCTCCTGTTCGTAAGGTGCACTGCCCATCATTAACTCAGTAATGTATTGACTGAGCTTTCATTAGGTGTAAAAATGTTTCATTCTGTCATTCAGATTGAGGCTGAGATCGAAGTGTTTCCTGAACCAGATTTCACCAAAGAGATCATCGGAGGATCTCTGGGAGGCTTGTTGCTTCTGCTTCTACTCACCGCTGGCCTGTATAAGGTGAGTCACAACATTTTCATTCCAATCCGTTTGGCTCAGCTACACAGCAGCAGTGACTGGGACAGTGTGCTTTGTGAAAAATCATAAGATACATGTATTTCTTCTAAAATTTTCAAATTCAAATTTTATTTGTCACATACACAGTCATACACAGTACCAAATGCAGTGAAATGCCTTACACAACTGCTCGTGACCTAAGAGTTGAAAATAAAATAACTGTACAGCACGAATTAGAATGAAGGGTAAATTTAACTGGGAAAGAGTAAGGTAAAATATATCTGAATTAAAGTTGAATAATAGAATAGCTTTACAACAAAATACACAATACAATACAAATTAGAATAAAAGGTAAATTTAGCTGGGAAGGAATATGATAAAATGTATATAAGTTTAAGTTGAGAATAAAGTAACTGTACAACAAAATACACAGTATGTAAATGTATAAGAATGTATGAAGAAATAAAAATATCTATACAAAACAGCAGCTGAACAAGTATAACATGGAAATGAAAAAAAAAAAATATATATATATAATGTCCAGAGTTGTGCAAACCACATTTTAGTGACTTTGTAGTGCAACTATGCTTAAGCAAAGTCCAGACTGTTCGGTGTGTGTGAGAACCATATGTGTGGGCACTTACTATGTGGTGGTGTGATTTAAAGATCGAAAGTTCTAGATGTTTTGGCAACAATTTGGAGCAGAATCATTTGTTTTTCTTAAGAAATGACTTCAAGAAAATAATTTGTTATGTAAATGGTAAATGGCCTGTATTTGATATAGGCCCTTCTAGAGTCTCAGAGCCCCCCAAGGCACTTTACAACACAGCCATTCACCCATGTACACACACATTACACCCTGGTGGTGAGGAGCAACAGTGTAGCCACAGCTGCCCTGGGGTGAACTGACAGAGGCGAGTCTGCCAAGCACTGTCGCCATCGGTGTCTCCAGCCACCACCAGCAGGCACCAGTGTCTTGCCAAAGGACACAACAGCAGCCTTCTCTGCCGGGATTGATCCTACAACCCTGAGGTTACTGGACAACCCGCTGCCCCAGCAGCAGTAGCTGTCTTACGACAAATACATTTTTAACCCACAAATGAGAGAGACCCCTTTGTATTGACCAAATATCCTATTTGACACACGGCCTATTGAACATTAGTTGCACTTTAGATTGGATGAAATCCAACACATTAACATTATTTAGGTATATTTTATAGTGCTGATATCAGCTGTTTTGATCTGATGATGTTTATTCCATGACTTGGATCAAGATCATTTAATAGTCCTCTGTAATGAATGGTACTCTGTATCAGCAAGTACTCAACTGTAAGTACTTATCCTCAGTTTATTAATTTTTAGTAATGGAGCAAATATAGAAAATAAAGATTTTTAATGAAGTTGAAATGCCAAAAACTATTTTCTGTCTAAATGCACTAGTCAGTCTTTCATCATTTTTCTTTATTCTTCTGTTTGTACCACCAAATGTATGCAAATGTTTCACTTTTAAAATCCCTCTTATCTTTTGTGTCTGCAGGCTGGATTTTTCAAGAGCAAATACAATGAGCTAATGGCTGAACATGTAGGAGAAGCTGATCCAGTCAATGCATGAGGAGCAACCATAAATCCAGAAAAAGGAAATCACTTCTACCCTGTCCCTCACAGACTCAACCCTTTACTCATCAACTACAATGGTCTTATTTTACAAATGTTTGATGATACAAACTGAAAAACGGAAACATAAAACGGTATTTCAAGCACCTAGTGGTTCTCATTGTTTGGATGGTCTTGTAAATAGTATGAGACAATATCTTTAGGAGGCTTTATTGTACTGTAGCTCTTTCACATGACTGAACATGTTTGGTTTATATTTTGCAATAAGTAGCAGTTTGGTACACATTAAAATGCTTTTATACAAAAAATATCTGAACATGATTTAATTTGTCTAGTTCTTTTTTGTGGTTGTTAAAATAAGTAAATAAATTAAAAAGTAAAGGCTGTTTTGACCTTTCGTTGCGAAACAGTCTCTATTTGTTTTTGTGTGTTTGTTAGGAAGATGAAGCGGGTAAAGGGTAAAGGAAGGTAAAGGGTGCAAGGCCTGACTTTAGCTGAGCTGAAATGGAGCGAGAGTTTGGGATGTGGTGTGTCTTTAGACCCAAGCGCAGAGTGACTGACGCTGGGCGAGACTGACACGCGGTTTGATCTAGGAGCCGGGTGCGCAACCGTATAATGACAGGTGAGCACAGCGGCTCCAAAAGGAAACAAAGCTGACTTACTTTGACTGGACAGGTTGGGTAGCTTGAGCTGATCTGGTCAGAACGGGCTGAGTGATCGGGTTGGATCTGGTTGGAACTCGAAGCACGGTTCGGTTAGAACGATGACTGAGTGGTTCGGCGTCGAGCTGTACTTCCTTATGTAGATGTGGCGGGTGACATGGCACGGAAGACTGGCACTGGGGATGCTAGTGGAGTTCGGTTGGCCTGAGTGGGTGTGTGGTCCTCCCCGGAGGATGTTGAGGGTTGTGAAAGAGGCAGCGTGACAAAGGGCAGTTCAATGTGCTTTCCATTAGTGAGAATAACTGTCATGACTCCCATCCTTCACCCTCCTCTGCCTCCTCATTTAACCTTCATTCAGCTCACCTGGTCCCTTCACCAAGCTCCTGACAAGCCCTGTTTCCCCTGGCAACCACAATCAACTCCATTCTTCTCACCTGTTCCTGTCATCAGCTTCATCCACTTCACCTGCTCCTGACTCCTCAGCTCATCTCACACACCTGCTTCCCCTGCTATAAAAGATCCATTCAGCTACCCAGTCATTGCCAGATTATTGAAAGCCTTGCAAGTAAATCTTCCAGCCACCCACCCTGCCTGATCTCTGCCTCCGGACCTCGTTTTTCGCCTGACCACTGCCTTGTACTCTGCCTGCCATCACGACCCTCGCCTGTCCTCCACCTCGTCTCCAGTCTGTTCCCTGTACCTGCTTGTCTGATCTGGTTTTTACCCTCGTCTCCTCTCCGACTCTGTCTCCAGCTTCGTCATCCTCTGGTAACTCTGCATCAAATAAAGACTTTTAAAGGAGCTTTTCAGTGTTTGGTGTCCTTACGGGTCCTTCTAGTTCAGTTTGTGACAATATCACAAACATTAAAATCAATGTGATGGCACAATAAAAATGCACTAATACATTTAGACCAAATTACATACAGGAATTAATTTCAGATTTAAGAATAACAAAAAGACAGTTAAAGGGTGAGCAGTTACACTGCAGAAGGTGCAGAATTAAAAACAGTCATTCAAAGGCTGATGAATTCATGAAAGTTTTCAGTTTTGATTTAAAAGTTATTAAAGTTGGGGCATATTTGAGGTCATGAGAAAGCTGCTTCTTTGTACAGCATAGTAGCTAAAAGCAGCTTCACCCTGTTTTGTTCTGACCTGGGGTTCTGTTTGGTGTATATACAGGAAGGAGATCCAACATGTATTCTGGCCCTATGCCATTGAGTGATTTCTTAACTAGTTGAAATGGATTCTGTAGTTAACTGGTAACCAGTGTAGAGATTTAAAAACAGGAGTGATGTGCTCAGTTGTCTTGGTTCTTGTGAAGACTCTAGCGCAGCATTCTGAATGAGCTGCAGTTGCTTCACTGTTTTGGGAAGACCAGAAAAAGGATCATACTAAAAATATGGTAAAACTGAACAAGACCTTTTTAGTTTCCTAAAAATAACAATTAGGTTTGAGAAGCACAGTAGTGCATTAATCAACATGGTCTCTAATGTTGTCTAAACAATGTTGTGCACATAAAATACAGCAGTTGTACGCATTGATCCAAGCACATTTCCTTTGTGCATCTCAATCAACACAGAAAGGAGCAAAAATGTAGGAACACCGAAAACCTTTCTTTGGAATGTCTCCAGTGTGCAAATTAAAGTAAGCAGGCCCAATACATGATTTTTCCTATCTACATGATCAAAATCATGTTTGTGCTTGTTGGAATGAAGAGAAAACGAAAAGAATTTTCACATTTTTTACACACATTTTGTGGTGTTAAATATTTGAACAGCTGTGAAATGGTCTATTTGGGTTTAAGTGTTGTTTGTAGTAAATAGCTGCTCAGAAAATGGTGTATCTAACTCTCTTTTCTTAGTGTTGCATGTTGAACCTTGGCTTCTTAAGATCCAACAATGCAAAATATGATTTGGGGCATTTTTTACATGGTCTTAAACTTTTGATCAGGATTACTCAAATCACACCTCATAAAATCAGAGCTGGGCATATTATCAGTATTAGTGAGTAGTAGATGAAGTACTTCAAGTAAAAGTGAGCTGCAGAAACTTAATGAGGTTGGTTAAACTGCAGAAGTTGATCACCTTCCACATCTGTGGGATCTACTGTAGGGAGATATTTAGAACAGGGGAAATCATTTCCTGAACACTCTGTTAGAGAAGGAGCTCTGCTGTACCTCCATAGTGTTATGAAGTGTGTGAATGACCAGCTTGATCAGAGCCTTCCTAACGTTCTCCAGTGTCTCCAGGTTGTAACCGATAATTTTACCGACTCTGTGAATCACTTTGTTGATTCTGCCAGAGTCCGTGACACTTCCCAAACACACCACAGCATACATGATGGCACTACAACCACCGACCGGCAAAAGATCTCTAGCATCTTGCTGCACACATGAAGGATCAAAGCCTCCTCAGGAACTAGACACGGTCCAGTCTGTTGTCAAAGTGCATGCAGATGTATTTGTCCACAACCTCCACTTTCTCCCCCAGGATCCAGATGGGCCAGTGTGGAGGTATCCTCCTCCTGAAGTCATTCACCATTCCATGCCAATCCAATTTAGCCTGTTTACTTTCAGCATGGATACAATTATATGAGCTTTAGAAGAACAAGTTTGAATGCAAAAGGCTGTGAGCATGGCCTATTTCAACACACAGTGGCTCATTATTACAAAATTAGCCCACTTTGTATTTCTGACTCACAATTTAAGGAAGCAAGCAACCATAAAAGAGAGAAATGTTCCCTTTGTTAGAGGATGTGTCGAACCTTAAATGGTGAGACAGAACTATTCATCCTATTTCATCATGGTTTCCCTTCCACCACTATTTGTGTGAACTAACTAACGAATGTGGCGTCTGACAAAGAAACCTAACCCACACAGTTTTCTTAAGAAAAACAACATTTAACAAAAATTGCATTCATTCACTTTCAGCTGGAGTTTAAAATATATGGGTTGCATACACATGTAATAATAAATGTCCCTCTATCCCATTTTGAAATGTGGTCACTAATATTTACCAAAAGAGAGAATACTGCCTGGTGAGCATTTCTACATTCACAATCGGAAACCGACTACAAAGTGGACACTGGCGTGTGAACATCAGTGTGTTGTTACATTAAATGTTTGCAGTTTGACACTAAGATAAAAATATCTTGAAATGTGAAAAACCCTTTGAGCCTCCAGACTCCGTAAAATGGTTTGTTTCGCAATGAAAAGTATCAGTAATGTGACTCCTCCTATATAAGAGCAGTTCCTTCATGATTTCTGCATTCTTCCATCATTTACTCCTTGTCACACTCAAAAGACAGATGGAGGTGTCTCCTGTGGTTTAAACGAAAAGATTTTTCTTTACATCGTCTGGGATGAGCAAGATGGACGGGATCGGTTTTATGCTGCTCTTTTTGTCAGGTAAGAAAAGTTTATGCCCATTTTGATATATTTATAATTAAAATTCAAACATAATGGCTTCAGTATACCCTTTTCATTCTCTGGACAGGCCATCGTTGCAGCATTTCAAATTTAAAGTTCAATACCGCTGTAATATCTTCACTTTACTACAAATTAGTAAATGCGCTCTTTTGCATAGCGTCGAGATAAACCAAGCTCACTGATTCTGGTTTCTAAATTTCAGCTTTGATGTCACCACTGTGAGGTTTTCATCACTGTTGGTGGAATTAAACATTCCATTAGTGACTTAATGGTAATTATGAATATGAAGATCTATATTATTTTAATGTTTACTTTGTAACGCTGAAGAAAGAATAATCATGATAATGTAGAAGTTTTCTGTCAGGTCACAGAGTTAAAGCAGGAGGGTGTGCCGGTGATGAAACCAAAAGGAGAAGTTTCAGTTATCTCAGAATAACAAAGTGTATTTAAAATCATAGTAGTTAATTTTGTATGGCCAACTTTAAGTTAGGGTCTAAGATGTTTAATATTAAAATTTCAACACCAGTAGGTTAAATTCACTTTCAGGTGTGCACGCATTGATCAAAAGGAGCTTTTTTCCTTTTATCAATGACAGGAAAAATAAATGAAAGTGATTGTAATTGTTTAACAGAGAGAGTGAAAAAAAATCTAAACTATAATATTTATCATGTATTTTTCCCTTTTGTTTTATATCGCAAGTGTTCCTATGTGAGGACTTTAAAAAAACGTGATCTTTAGCTCACCCTAGTGGTATTAAGCAGGATTTAATTTCCTCTCAATTCCAACACATATAATCTGAACTGTGTCAATTAAAACAATCATGAGGATATGTTTAAGACAAATGTTGCCTTAACCAGATAATTTGTTTTAAAGTTGATTAAATGTTGGATTTCCCCCCCAAATCTTCAGCATTAAACGCTGCCCTTTGCTTTAATGTTGATCCTGCTGCTTGGAAGTCCCTGAGCAAACCCGCTGCTGGTTTTGGGTACCAAGTGGTGCAACGGCAATCAGAGTGAGTCAGACCAAACTTCATTCTGTTGAACGTTGACGATAGCGTCCATGAATCTGCAACTTGTTTGTAATGTTTTGTAATCCAGCTTGGAACTTTGTTGAACTCTAAATTGAAGAAACAGTTCTGGGCTGATGAATGTTTCACAAAGATCTGTCTGGTTTCGTTTCCACAGTTTACTCATCAGCGCCCCACTTAATCAGTTTTCAAGCACTGCTAGGGGACAGATATTCAAGTGCACCAATGAGAGATGCCGAAGTCTGACGAATACAGGTAGGAAAAGTTTAATTTCACAATACCCAAAGAACATTTCCAAAATATATGTGAGTCAGACAATTAAACACTAAGGAATGTTTCAACGGATGCTACTATCACACTAATTAGACATAGCTGGTTAAAGTATTAGAGTTTTGAAGTCCCATCCTCACACTGTGGTGAAATATGTTCTCCACATTTTACCCATCCCCTGTGGAGTGATGAGCTGCAGACATGGCCATGCTTAGGAACTGATTGGTGGTTTGTGCCCTAGTCAAAGCCCTTAATGCAGGGTGCCAAGCGAGGAGGCATTGGGCCCCATTTTTTAAGTCTTTGGTATGACCAGACTGTGGATTGGAACCCACGACCTCCCAGTCTCCAGGTGGACACTCTACCACTAAACCACCTCTACCACCAAATGAAATGTCTTTGGTTTTATTTATTCCAAAACTCCAGCACTGGTTATAAAACCAATCTGGAACCCTATTGGTCTGCTTTGGTCGGTAGGGAAAACGTGGAAAAGGTTGTGGCTAAACAGCTCACAGCTGCTCTTGATGAACATAACATCTATGACGATGATAGTTTCCAGTCAGGTTTCTATAGAGCTCGTTATACTGAAACAGCTCTTTTTAGGGTCTCCAATGACCTTCTGACTCAAGGTGATGCAGGGGAGTGTTTTCTTTTCTGGTCCTGCTGGACCTGACTGCAGCCTTTGACACTGTTGACCATCACCTGGATAGGCTGGATATGTCTATAAATCGCCATCTCAGCACGTCTTTTTTAAACAATTTAGAACTACAGCGCTACTTTTATTCAGCCATTAACATTTAACTCAATCTTTTGACACAAATTTATCTGTATTTAAATAATTTTGCTTTATTTTTGATGAGTCACTTGGTTATAAGGCTGATTTAAATATGATTATTTGTATTTTAGCCTCCTAGACGCCTCCCTGGTAAGGTTTTCCGGGCACGTCCAACCGGGAGGAGACCTAAAGGTAGGCCCAGGACACGGTGGAGGGACTATGTCTCTCACCTGGCCAGGGAACGCCTTAGGATTCCCCCGGAGGAGGTGGCCCAAGTGGCGGGGAGAGGGAAGTCTGGCCCTCTCGCCTTAGGCTACTGCCCCCGCGACCCGACTCCGGATAAGCGGATGAAAATGGATGGATGGATGGATGTATTTTAGGGATTTGTGTTCATGAGCACGGAACATTAGATTACAGAACTACCGTGAGACTGGGTTGTTTAGCAATGGTGAAAGAGGAGTTTGAGTGCCTGCACCATAACCAAGGGTTTGCAGGGTTGAGCCCATGTCAGTCTATCTCAGTCATTGTGTCCTTGGGAAAGACATGTCACCCTCCTTGCCAGCTGTTAAAATAATTCCCATCTCACCCTGGTCTCATCCGTCCAAGCTCGGGTCCTCTACCAGAGGCTTGGGAGCATGAGGGTTCTGCAGTACCTTAGCTGTTCCTAGAACTGCACTTTTCTGGAGTGAGATGTCTGATGTTCTTCCTGGGATCTGATTTAGCCACTCCTCCAGTTTGGGGGTTACTGCCCCGAGTGCCCGACGACCATGGGCATCACCGATGTCTTCACTCTCCAGGCTTTCTCAAGTTCTTCTTTGAAGTCCTGGTACTTCTCTAGTTTCTCGTGTTCCTTTATCCTGATGTCGCATCACTTGGTATTGCCACATCAACCACAACAGCTGTCCTCTATTGTTATATATATATATATATATATATATATATATATATATATATATATATATATATAGATGCCCCTTAACGGTTAATAGCCAACCAACACCCCCCGATGCACACAAACATTTGCCCCTGCTCTATAAATAATAACGCTTTTTCCGTCTACTCTTTTAATATAATTCTGATGCACAACTAGCCCACACTCGTTACATTTATGAACAAGAAGTAAAGAGTGTGACGACAGCTGAAATGTCCCTCAGACTCAGAATTTCCAGACCGTCTGGCATCAAACACACAGCACTGCTTGTGATTGTGTGCTTATAAGCGCATTCTAGAGGTCAGGGTTTAAAAAAATGTTTTCTTATACTGAACTAAATAATTAAACTGAAATTACCTTTTTTTAACTAGACAAATGTAGGACCGACTGACCTGCTGGTCTCGGTTCAGTTTGATATGCCATGCTCTGTCAGGCTCAGTGCTTTGATGTGAGGCTTATTGTGTTCCAAGAATGAAATAACTAAGAATAAACTTTTCTCTCGCTGTTTGCTAACCGTTTCATGTTTGACCACATTGGTTTGGTCATGTGACAAGCTCCTTTTTTCTTCTTCGGTTTCCCAGTAAACATTTTGATAGCGGTACTCATGTCCTCTAGTGGCACAAAATGTATTACACCCCAGTGCAGCAGAAGGACTAGAACAAGTAAGGTGTGATGCTGTAGTCTGAGGACAGATGACTAATGCTGGTTTTTCTGTATTTAAGGTAGTTTTTAATAATCCCATCTATCATGGAATTAGAACACATACAGGAAGAAAAATGCTTTAGAAGAAAATCCAAGAAAATCCATTTATGAGTCAATACAAATACTTATAAATACAACATCCAGTGGATGAATATATACATATTTTTGAATTAAACAATGCATGTATTTTTTTTATTGTTGAAATGTTCCACAGTGCAAAACACTGAACATGTCAACATGTCCCTTGGTTTGGCGATGGGAAGTGATCCTGCTACACAGAAAACGTTGGTGCGTTGGTGAACTACTGGCATTTTCAATGGAAAATATTAGAATCTTATACAATGTTACAACATCAAAATAACCAACCTATAACCATTTTCAGGCATGTGGTCCGACCATTCCTAAAGACTGCAAAAGTATCACCATGTACAACGGTTTGTGCTTTGAGATTGACCAAAATGACGCATTTGGAAGATCTTACCCATCTTCAGTTCCAGGTAAACATAGCAGGGTTTCCACAGTCACTCACTATATCTCGCTCACAAAGACTAATAACATCATTCAAAAGTAATCCATTTGTTATGACTAAGTTACTGTTTGGACATTTACTGATTCTCATTTTAACTAAATTATTTTTTACAGATTGTCCAACCCAGGCTGACATTGCCTTCTTACTTGATGGCTCTGGCAGTGTACAACCAGTAGATTTTACCAAAATGAAGACTTTTGTTGTAAATCTAATCGGTGCATTGAGGGGAAAAGATACTCAGGTAAAGCTAATCATCATAATATTCAGTTTAACAGGAAAAATGAAATGTTTCCACTTTTTTTTAACCAAACATGGCCCTTTATGAGCATGATCAAGTAGCAATGTTGACAAAAAAATACACTACTTTGACTATTTAGAATATAACAACAAATTCCACACCTTTTCTTTTTTCTTTCTTTTTTTTTTTTGCAGTTTGCCATTACCCAGTTTTCCAGCTATACCAGTACTCATTACTATTTTAATACATTAAGTGATTCAAACTGGAAGCAGCAAATCAATAACATAAACCAAATAAATAGAGGAACTGCTACAGCTGCAGCCATTATGAATGTTGTGTAAGTATCTGTGATAGTAATGCATTACAGTATTATATACATTTGATTCATATTTGAGGTAACTGGATCAGTGGAAAGACCATTTGCCTGACACTCAAAGTTGGTGGTTTGATCCCAGCTTTCCCACTGCAAGTAAGTGTCCTACTTGGTCAAGAAACCAAACCCCAGCCGACCTCTGGGTCAAAAAGACAAGCGGCACAAAAGCATTTTCACTATTTCTGTTTGTCTAATGTTCTCTGGTACTTTTAAGTGAGATTTGAAGATATCACAAGGGTAATTTTGATTTTAAAGATTTATTTTGAACAGCTGAACATGTCATCGACATTAACTGCTAAGGGCGGATGTTGGCAAAGGAGTTCAGTGTTGACCCTGTAACCGGAGGGTTGCAGGTGTGAACTTTGTCTGTCACAGTTATTGGGTTCTTGTGTATGACACTTGGCCTGCCTTACCTGCTGGAGGTGGTTGGAGGGACTGGCAGTACCTGTGTATTGCAGCCTAACCTCTGTCAGTTCGCCCCAGGGTACCTGTGGCTACAATGTAGCTCATCACCTCTTGAGTGTGAATATGTTGGTGCATGGCTGTGTTGAAAATGGTCTTGGAGGGGTAAAGGTACGTCCCTGACAGGAGGTGTTAAAATGTGAAGGAGGGGTAACATAAGAAATGCAACAGTGGAGTTAAAATGGGCCTAATGTTATAAAAATGTTCTAAAAACAGGTGCAAACAGATGGCGAGCATTATTAAGATAATGCAAAACAAAAACTCTCAAAAAGGTTAACACTAAAAGAGCAGTTAACTTTAAAACCTAACATTAAAAACACCTGGTTAAGACAAATGTTAAAAGTTTTACTGGAACAGAAGGTGTTTTAAAACCAAAGTCAATAAAATTGTATCACAGAGTTAACCTTTAAAACGAGCCCTCTGGATCACACAGAGTTAAAACGATAAAAGTTAAAACTCTTCTACTCGAAGGGGTCGAAAACAAAATGACACCTGGAGGACACCAGAAACCCTGCACTGCTGCCTCCCAGACTGCTGAAGGCACAGCCTTTTTATCCCAGGTGTGGGTCATCAGCAGGATTCAGCTCAGCTGTGCTCCTCAGCAGCCTGGAAGAGAGGAGGAGGAGGGGCAATGTTAGGCTGATCACCAGGGCTGGGTGATCCTGGCTCCTGCATCCCATTTGCAGGGCTGGTAGCCGTCACAGGTACAGAAAGTTTTCAGACCCTCGTCAACTTTTCACTGTTTGTAATGTTGCAGCCGTTTGCTAAAATCAATTAAATAAAAAAATGTCCTCAATAATGTACACAAAGCACCCCATATTGACAGAAAAACACAGAATGTTTCAAATTTCTGCAGATTTATTAAAAAAGACAAACTGAAATATCACATGGTCCTAAGTATTCAGACCCTTTGCTGTGACACTCATATATTTAACTCAGGTACTTTAATTTCTTCTGATCATCCTTGAGATGGCCCTACACCTTCATTGGAGTCCAGCTTGATTATACTGATTGGACTTGATGAGGAAAGCTACACCTGTCCATATAAGACATTACAGCTCACCATGCATGTCAGAGCAAATGAGAACCATGAGGTCAAAGGAACCACCTGAAGAGCTCAGAGACAGAATTGTGGCACATATCTGCAGCACTTAAGGTTCCTAAGAGCACAGCGGCCTCCATAATCCTTAAATGGAAGATGTTTGGGATGACCATAACTCTTCCTAGAGCAGGCTGTCTGGCCAAACTGAGCTAATGGGAGAGAAAAGCCTTGGTGAGAGAGGTAAAGAACAAAAAGATCACTGTGGCTGAGCTCCAGAGATGCTGTCAGGAGATGGGAGAACGTTGTAGAAAGTCAACCATCACTGCAGTCCTCCACCAGTCAGGGCTTTATGGCATAGTGTCCCGTCGGAAGCCTCTCCTCAGTGCAAGACACATGAAAGCCCACATGGAGTTTGCTAAAAGACACCTGAAGGACCCAGAGATGGTGAGAAATAAGATTCTCTGGTCTGGTGTGACCAAGATAGAACTTTTTGTCCTTAATTCTCAGCCGTATGTGTGGAGAAAACCAGGCACTGCTCATCACTTGTCCAATACAGTCCACCACAGTGAAGCATGACGGTGGCAGCGTCATGCTGTGGGGCTGTTTTTCAGCTGCAGGAACAGGACGACTGGTTGCAATTGAGGGAAGGATGAACGCAACCAAGTACAGGGATATACTGGACAAGAACCTTCTCCAGAATGCTCAGGGCCTCAGACTGGGCTGAAGCTAAAATAACAACGGAAAGGCTTCACAGGAACTCTGTGACTGTTCTTGAATGGCCCAGCCAGAGCCCTGATGTAAACCCAACCGAACATCTCTGGAGAGACCGAAACATGGCTGTCCACCAATGTTCACCATCCAACCTGACAGAATCTGCAAGGAGGAATGGCAGAGGATCCCAAATCCAGGTGCAAGAAACTTGTTGCATCTTTACCAAGAGGACTCTTGGCTGTTTTAGCTCAAAAGGATGTTCTACTAAATACTCAGCAAAGGGTCTGAATACTTAGGACCATGTGATATTTAAGTTTTTCTTTAATAAATCTGCATGAATTTAAAAAAATCTGTTTTCTGTCAGTATGGGGTGCTGTGTGTACATGAATGGGTAAAAATGAATTAAATTGATTTAATTTAATAGCTGCAATAAAACAATGAGTGAAAATTTGACGGGGGTCTGAATACTTTCCAATTGTATATCAAATACAGGTAATTTAACTTTTAATTGTTTTGGATTAACAATAGAAGTTTATTTTAAACTAAAATCCTCACCCATTAGCCATTTGCTCTAAGCTGTTCATTTTATATATTAATGACATCCGAGTATCAGACAAACAAAAATTTGTTATTTTTGCTGATAATTAAAACCCCTTTTCTCCAGAACAGACTTACATCAGATCTTTAAAATGGTTTTGATTGAGATGCAAAATTTAAAAGTGTTTTGATTTAAACAAGTCATCCTTGAATATGACCAAGAGAAAAACTGACATTATTGGGAAAACACAGTATTAGCACAGATTTACTGCTGGTAATTGGTACATTATAATATCATGTTTTTAGGAGTCATACTAGACCAGAAGATTTACCAGTAGCTTCATATTGATTATGTGTATTATATATATCAAGGAGTGTTGGAATATTATGGAAACCAGATTTCTACCGAAACAAAACACTTGATGTACTAAAAGATATGATGCCACATATGTATTACTGTGTAGACAAATGGGGAAATATGAAGTTACCCTGCAGCAGATAAGTATAAATAAGATTTGGGGAAAAAGATTCATGTTATTAAATATATACCAAACCTGCTGTTCCTAAAATCCAAAATACTGAAACTTGAAGATGTGGTTAAAATTAAAACAGCTCAATTTCTGTTTAAGGTAAAAAACAAAACACTACCAAATAATTTGTCTTTGTGTCTGTTTGTAGGGTAACTCTGTGGAATGGTCTCAGTAACAAACTCAAAGTAGTCGCAATAAACTGCTTCAAAAGATATACAGAAATTGCTATTAGGGAACAATTGAAGAATAAATTATATAAATAATAATTATGGTAGACAGAATGATTCAGATCCTTCTTGAAGGGAGTGTTTAAGCTCATGTAGATGTAATGTGTGTAGATCAGGTATGTACTGATGATTGTTGTATGTACATGTGTGTGTATTTGAGTGGAAACTAAGGTGTGAGTAATCGCAAACATCCATCCATCCATCCATCCATCCATCCATCCATACATACATACATCCATCCATACATACATCCGCTTATCTGGAGTCGGGTTGCGGGGGCAGTAGCCTAAGGCAAGAGGCCCAGTCTTCCCTCTCCCCAGCCACTTGGGCCAGCTCCTCTGGAGGAATCCCAAGACGTTCCCTGGCCAGGTGAGAGACATAGTCCCTCCACGTGTCCTGGGTCTACCTTTAGGTCTCCTTCCGGTTGGACGTGCCAGGAAAACCTCACCAGGGAGGCGTCCAAGAGGCACCCTAAACAGATACCCGAGCCACCTCAACTGGCTCCTCTCGATGTGGAAGAGTAGCGGGTCTACTCCGAGCCCCTCCCGAATGATGAAGCTTCTCACCCTATCTCTAAGGGAGAGCCCAGCCACTCTTCGGAGAAAACTCATTTCGGCTGCTTGTATCCGCAATCTCGTTCTTTCGGTCACTACCCAAAGCTCGTGACCATAGGTGAGGGTAGGAACATAGATCCACTGGTAAATCGAGAGCTTCGCCTTCTGACTCAGCTCTCTCTTCACCACGACAGGCCGGTACAATGCCCTCATCACTGCAGATACAGCACAAATCCGCCTATCGATCTCACGCTCCAGTTTTCCTTCATTCGTGAACAAGACTCCGAGATACTTAAACTCCTCCACTTGGGGCAGGACCTCATCCCTGACCTGGAGAAGGCATTCTACCCTTTTCTGAATCAAGACCATGGTCTCAGATTTAGAGGAGCTGATTCTCATCCCCGCTGCTTCACACTCGGCTTCAAACCGCTCCAGCGAAAGCTGAAGATCACGTTCTGATGAAGCCAACAGGACCACATCATCTGCAAAAAGCAGAGACCTGATCCTCAGGCCACCAAAATGGATGCCCTCCACACCTTGGTGGTGCCTAGAAATCCTGTCCATAAAGGTTATGAACAGAATCTGTGACAAAGGGCACAGAGAGTCCAACTCTCACTGGGAATGAGCCCGACTTACTACCGGCAATGCGAACCAAGCTCTGACACCGGTCATACAGGGACCTAACAGCCCGTATCAGAGGGCCTGGTACCCCATACTTCTGGAGTACCCCCCTCAGGGCTCCCCGAGGGACGCGGTCAAACGCCTTTTCCAAATCCACAAAACACATGTAGACTGGTTGGGCAAATTCCCACGCACCCTCCAGGATCCCCTTAAGGGTATAGAGCTGGTCCAGTGTTCCACGGCCAGGACGAAAACCACATTGCTCCTCCTGAATCAGAGGTTCAACAATCCAACGGACCCTCCTCCCCAGAACCCCTGAATAGACCTTACCAGGAAGGCTCAGGAGTGTGATCACCACCCTGGCTTGCCAGTCCAGTGGGACTGCCCCTGATTTCCACGCGATATTGCAGAGCAGCGTCAGCCAACACAGCCCCACAACATCCAGATCCTTAAGGAATCCCGGGCGGATCTCACCCACCCCTGGTCTCACTGTCGTTGCCCACGTGAGCGTTAAAGTCTCCCAGCAGAACAAGAGAGTCACCGGAAAGAGCTCTTGCCAGCACCCCCTCCAAGGTCTCCAAAAAGGGTGGGCACAGACCACAGTCAGAACCCGTTCCCCCACACGTAGGCGGAGGGAGGCTACCCTCTCATTCACTGGGGTACAGGCACCAAGATGGGGGGCAACTAGTATGCCCACCCCTGCTCGGCGCCTCTCAGTGGGAGCAACTCCACAGGGGGGTTAAAAAGTCCAACCCCTCTCAAGGAAACTGGTTCCAGAGCCATGCCTTGAGGTGAGTCCGACTATATCTAGTCCGAACCTCTCAACCTCACACACCAGCACAAGCTCCTTCCCCACCAGAGAGGTGACATTCCATGTGCTTAGAGCCAGCTTCTGTAGCTGAGGATCAGATTGCCAAGGTCCCCGCCCTCGACTACCACCAGTCACACACTGCACCCGACCCCTTTGGCCCATCCCATGAGTGGTGAGCCCATGGGAATGGGGACCCATGTTTTCTCTTCGGGCTGTGCACGATCAGGCTCCATGCTTGAAAGCCCAGCCACCAGGCGCTCGCCAACGTGCCCCACCTCCAGGCCTAGCTCCAGAGCGCCTCGTGATTTTTATCTTGAGAGGCGCTATAGAAATGATATTTTCTTCTTCTTCTTCAGAGGGGGGCCCCGGTGACCCACGTCCGGGTGAGGGAACATGATTTCCATTTATATAATTCATCATAAGAAGTCTTCGGGCTGCTCTTTGTCTGATCCCTCACCTACATACCAAACATACAAAACATATCAATGAAAATGTAAGTTTTCAAAGAAAAAATATTCAAACCAATAAAATAGACCTCATTTGTGCTCAGAAAGAAAACATTCTACCCGTTAGCTGCAGTAAGAAGCTACAGTTACACAAGTGCGTACACACAGACACACCGCTCAGTCAGAGTTGACAGAAAAAAGTTAAAATTGTTTTTGCTTACTTGTCTTACCTTTGTCAAATATTTAAATTGGGTTAACGATCAGAAATATTTATATGTGAAAAAAAAAAGAAATCAGGAAAGGGGAAAAACATTTTTCCACACCATGGAGTCTATCATATGGAACCTGGCGTTGTGTTCACAGTGATTTATGTCAGCTGGAGAAGTTACAGCACTTTATGACAAAAAACATTTGTGCAAGACTGGTTTGTGGTTATGACGTAGTGCAATGCGACGTTAAGAAAGGCAGCAGTAGCTCAGGAGGTGAGCGAGTTGTCCAGACAATCGGAATGTTGTAGGTTTGATCCTGGCAGCAGCCTAAACCGAGAGGCCAAGACTTCCCCTTCCCTAGTCACTTGGGCCAGCTCTTCTGGGGGATCGCAAGGCGTTCCCTGGCTGAGAGACATGATCCCTCCAACGTATCTTGGGTCTTCCCTTAGGTCTTCTCCTGGTTGGACTTGCCCAGAAAACTTCACCAGGGAGGCATCCAGGAGGCATCCTTACCAGATGCCCAAGCCTCAACTGGGTCCTCTCGATGTGGAGGAGCATCGGGTCAACTCTCAGCCCCTCACGGATGATCGAGTTTCTCACCCTATCTCTAAGGGCGAGTCCAGCCCCTCTGCGGAGAATACTAATTTTGGCCGCTTTTATCCGCAATATCATTTTTTCGGTCACTACTTGGAGTCCTCTGACTCAGAAAGGTGCTATACAAGTGAGGGTCATTAATCATTAGACTTTTATGGCTATGATAAATAAAGATGCTTTTCACACACTCACCCATTATAAGACTCTAGAGCCACCTCCCCCTGACCAGCCCAGGAGGGTAAATGTTGTCTTCACTGCTTTGTAATTTCCCTCCGCCCATTAGGGATGCTCCGATCAGGTTTTTTTTTTTTACTAATCACCAATACTGATCAGCAAGAGGGCTGATCACTGATACCGACTGATGGTTACATGATCTTGTGAAGAAAAAAGAACAATACCATCAACTTAATTTAAACAGAACCTGGTTTTACTTATTTATTCAAGAGAAAAAATACAAAAAGACTTCCAGCACAATCAGCGGGTTTGTTTCTTGTTCTTTAAACATTCAAATAAACTATTTAGTATGTTGTAAACATTTTTTCTGCATTTCTTGAAGTGAATGTCATGTTAAATATCCAATCCCTGTTACAATTCTTTTTCTTGACAGGAATGATGTCTTCTCGCCATTCAAAGGGGCCAGGTCAAATGTGAAAAAGATTTTGATTGTCATCACAGATGGAGAATCTCAGGACCAATACAATTTACCAGATGCAATTCAATTAGCTAACCAGAACAATATTGCACGATTTGCAATCGGGGTATATATACCATTTTTATCTTCTGGAAAGACAAACTGATTAGAAATTTTTATTAATTACTTTAAATGGACTTTTGACTTTATAAAAAATGATCTCACATAACAAAATAATACAGTAGGATAGGATTGACCAGCTATTTTAAGTAACCTTTCAGCATTTTAATTCAAATCCAAGACATTTTGTAGTGAAATATTTTTTGTGAAACAAGATTAAAAGGTGCTATGTAAATGAATGTAAAAAGTTTAATTTGAAGGAAAAAAAAATTAAAACACGAGATGAGCCAGTACTTAAATAACTATAATATCATAATATTCCAGTTTTTATTTGAGGAACTGAAGCATATAATACCTTTGCTAACATTTTATCTGGATTTCTAGGTGGGAGCAGCATTTTCAAGTCAAAGAGCAAAAGCGGAGTTGAATATGATCGCATCTCCTCCTTCTGAGAACTTTGTGTTTCAAGTGGAAAGTTTTGGTGCTCTTGACAAAATACAGAAGAATTTGCAGGACAAAATATTTTCCATTGAAGGTATTGTTCTTTTTACAAAACTAGATTCAAATCAGTTCATTTTCAGATTGGAGAAATGTTCCTGCATTGTCTGAATTTCTATCTAGAAAGCAAGTCTGACCCATAGTGACTATGGTTAAACACACACACACGCGCGCACGCACGCACGCACGCATGCACACACACACACACACACGCACGCACGCACGCACACGCACACACACACACACACACGCACGCGCACACACACACATCAAACTCTAGCATTAAGAAAATCTACAAAACTAAAGTCTCTTCTCTTTTTTACCTAACAGGATCTAAAGCCAGTGGAGAGTCACTAAAACTGGAGATGTCTCAAGAGGGGTTCAGAGCTACTTTGACACCTGAAGTAAATAATTATAGCTTTGCAAGGTTAAACATCACAATTTGTGTGTGCATTTAGATGTTTGTACTACCTGTCTGCATGACAGGGAGTTCAGATGTCTATTGTTGGTGCTAACCAGTGGAGAGGAGGCTACAGGAAATACTCACTTCAGAATGCTGCACTTACAGGTTCATATGAACCACAATCTATTGAGCCCAGCAGTTATCTTGGTAAGACTGTGTCAATAAAGTAATGTAGCAAACAGAAATATGTATGCACAGCTCTAACGCTATTATGCTAAAACTATTTGTCGTTGAGTCAAAAGAAGGTATGTTGTTCTGTTTAGCAATCACATATTGTGTGATTTTCCAGGCGTAATTAAAAGCTTTAGACACAGACAGAATTCAACATTTCATTGATGGCTTTGTCTTCTTGACCACAAAATTCCAGGTTATTCCATGGCAGTGGCTAAAACTCTATTTGGCACTTTGACAATTCTTGGCGCTCCACGATACAAACACAGAGGACTTGTGATCACTGTTTTAGAAGAAAAACCTCTAAAACAAATTGACCCCTATCAACAGCAGGTAGGTTGATAACCAATCAGTGGATCAAAGAAAATATAAATGTGAATAATGTTCTTTAAGAAGCTATTTTTTGTCCCTCTTTAATAATTGTCTCTGAAAAACAAAACCCACAACTCTTCCAGACTGGTGAATATTTTGGGGCAGAGGTTTGTGCTATGGATGTGAATTCTGACAGCTACACTGATCTGGTCCTCATTTCTGCTCCGATGCACAAGGACAACAATAGACATGGACGGGTTTATGTGTGCACATTAAGTTTTTTGGCAAGTGAAGGCTTTAACAAATGCAAGTTTAAAGGTGTAGTTACTCTTTTTATAAAGCAATTAATAACTTTCTGTTTCATCTTCACCAGAATGTCGACTGCCTCTTCGATTCTCCATCACAACTAATAATACTGAGAGGGGATCCAATCCCCAAAGGAAGGTTTGGGTCTTCTCTTGCTGTTCTGCCGGATCTGAATGGAGATGGCTTCAATGATCTGGTAGTTGGAGCTCCTCTGGAGAATGAAGGCCAAGGTAGCATCTACATATTCAATGGAGAAGGAGGTGACGGGATCAATCCTACCTACTCACAGGTGAGTAAATAACAACAACAGTCAAGGACTTGCACAAGCAAGCTAGGAGACCACTGTTGGCTTTCTTGACATGTCTTCATGTATTTACCTCACTTTCTCAAAAGAGGGTTCCAATGTATACTAAGAGTAACATAACATGCTCTAACTGAAACTGTAACCAAGGGAACCCTAAATTAGGGCATGACTTAGATTAGACCATCTGACGCATGAAAAACAGCTCCAATAGTGGCTGATCAGACCACAGGAACGTAAGGAAGTCTCAATTAACAAAGAACATGCAGAAACTACAGTACAGGCCAAATGTTTGGACACACCTTCTCATTCAATGTGTTGTCTTACTTTTCGTGACCATTGGTAGAGTCTCACTGAAGGCATCAAAACTATGAATAAACACATGTGAAGTTATGCACTTAACCAAAAAGTGTGAAATAATTGAAAACATGTTTTAGTATATATTTTCTTCAACAAAAAAATAAAATAAAACACCCTTTGCTTTGCAGACTTTTGGCATTTTTCCAACAGTCTTGAAGGACTACCTCGTGGAGCTCATCAAGAGAATGCCAAGAGTGTGCAAAGCAGTAATCAGAGCAAAGGGTGTTTTTTGAAGACAATAGAATATAAAACATGTTTTCAGTTAAAAGGAATTTACTATATTTCATAGTTTTACATGGATTCAGCTAAAACAGTGTTCTAAGGAGCAGAAATCTCATTGCAGAGAATTGCAGCCTCTGAAGTGAAGTCAGGACTAAAGTTCTTTGGTGTGTCCATCAGTCCATGGTCTTATGATCAGAGTGGTGACAGTCTGCCTGACTTAGCTGTAGGTTCAAAGGGGACAGTCGTCTTACTCAGGTAAGTCTGGGCATACATTAATACTGACTTTCATACATGAAACACCAATTATCACTTTGGTGTTTTGTTAGATTTTTATTTCCAAAGAAACAAAAACTGATGGTTTGATTTTTGACACTATGTTCCTTTATAGATCCAGACCCATTGTGATGGTGGATGCTACTGTGTCATTCGTTCCTAATGAAATCCCAACTCAAAACACAGACTGCTCAAAACCACTGAAAAATACAGCGAGAATCTGCTTTCTCATGAGAAGTCTCTCTAAAGTTGAAACAGGTTACTCCTTCTTCAGAAAGCACAACTTTTTACGTCTGCTTGTGTGCATTTGATCTAAAATCAAATCACTCGTCCATTTCAGCTGAAGCACAGATTAATTACACTTTAACTCTGGATGCGACTCGCAAAACTCCCAACAACCGAGCTTACATCAAGCAGAAACAGAGAGACCAAACTCAATCTGTTGTTGTTAAGCTAAATCAACAAAATTGCAACAATGTGGATTTCTTTATTGAGGTGAAGCTGAAAACCTACAAAACAATCTGATGCAACTAGCAGGTGCTTTTATATTCAACATTTTTTCTTTCCACCCTCTTTCAGTCCTGTCCAGAAGATGCTCTCAATCCACTTCAAAATGAACTCAGATTCAGCTTTCATGGTTCTCCCTCAAGAACAAAGCTCAGGCCAAGTCTCTACCAGCAGGCTAAAACAACAACGCTTCATCCTGTGAGTAACTTCTAACCGTACTCTACCAGCTGATTCACACGCTCTTTACAAAGGTTTACCTTTGGATTTGGAGAGTTCAGCAGTACACTGACAATAATCCTGAACTTAAACAATCTCATTTAATTAAGTGTGCTAAACATAATGTCTTCCACAGATTGGGTTTGAGATCAGCTGTGGTGTTGACAATGTGTGTGAAGATGACCTGAAAGTGGATTTTGACTTCACCAGGTGAGGCTTGAGCAACACTTTTCTGTAACACGTTACAATAAGGGGCACACGTTTATGCTTTGTTATTAGGGAACGATTTAGGAGGTATTGAGTAATGAACCAGGGGCTAATGGTGATGGGTAGATGAGGCTTCTGCTCATTACCCAAACTGTATTATACTGTGTTTACACGGTCACTCTATTGGTCTACTGACACCTGCTGGATCATAGACATCAATGCAAGCAGACCTAATAGTGAAACTCTACTGACATCAAGTCCCGGTGGGCCGTTTACCCAATGTGGGCCGGGCCGGTTCACTCTGATGGCAGCTGGGACAGCCAATTCTTCACGCATTTCCTGTGATTTCTCAGCATTGACAACATTCTTTTACTGATGTATGAAAGTTCAGGTGAACAAATGTGACATTTAACTTGCAGAAAATAGTGTGAATGATTCAAAAATAACCATTTTGAAACCAAATTCTGATAGATCAAGCAGAAACTGACAGGAACGGAATGAAATAAAAACAGGAAATAAAAATGAATAACTTATTGGCTGATATAAGAACAAAATGATCCCTCGTGGACCAACTTCTGTTGTTCCAGGCCTGGCTCCAAAGTGGGGGCCCCAATAACCCATGTCCAGGTGAGAGAACACTGTTTCCAATTGAAGTAATCATCATAAGAGGTCATCGGGCTGCTCTTTGTCTGATCCCTCACCTAGGACCTGTTTGCCATGGGTGACCCTACCAGAGGCATAAAGCCTCAGACATAACCTTAACTAAAACTTAATTTACACCATACCTCTTAAACCAACTAGTAAGCATGTTTAAAAATTGAGGATCGCAAAAATGTCCTCATTCTATTGGTTAAAAGCACATGCTGGTCCTCAGTAGGTAGTAAGGACAAGAACACACACAAACACACACACACACACACACACACACACACACTTCTGCTGCTACCCTGCCTTTTAGAGCTGTCAGAAGTGTTTATAGACCACATGAGTGTGTGGCTAATATGATTTGCCAAGAATCTATGTGAGCCACTCTCTTCACCCATTGTTTGAAGATGTAGAAAAGTTGCTGGTTTGTTCTGTTCAGGGAAGTCTATCACAATTTATTTTGTTTTTACTCACCAAGTCAAAATGTTGTTTGACTTGGTGAGTAAAACAAAGTTTACACCTTGTTTCAGTCAGTAAACTCCGCTTCTCTGGAAATGAGTGCCACAAACTTTGTAATATAATTCTCTGAAAATCCCAGAAAATAGTAATGAGTGTTTAAATAGAGGAAGCCAAGCATGAATCCTTGTGGGATGCCACTTCTGAAACAGATGGTGAAGGAGAAATTGTTGCTGATGCAGACAAATTGTGAACAAGTTCAGTTCTTTAACCATCTGCAAATAGTTGAGGGTTGTCCCAAAGCCAGCAACCTTTTGATTAGGAGGTCAGGGAGGATAATATTCAAAGCAGATATTCAAAAATGGCATCCTGTCATAACTATTTTATTTTTCAGATCCTCAGAGGTTAAAGTTGGCATAGATGAGCTTTTAAATGTGACCGTCTCGGTGGACAACAGCGGGGAAAACTCTTACAACAACCACATCATTCTCACATACCCAGTGGGACTCTCCTACAGGAAGTTTACATCTCTACAAGTGAGGAATCTGCTCCAAGTCTGGTTGAGTTCATCTCTGATCAGAGGCTCCAGCAGGTCACTCAGATGTTTTGTCTTTAAAACAGGGAAGAATTGAGTGTAACTCCCTGGACAGTGAAGATGGCGTTGCAAGAGGAAAGACAGACTGCAGTGTTGACAAACCTATTTTCAAAAGTAACTCTAAGGTTAGTTTGTTACGCTGCTGCTTCTCACTGCTGCTCAGATGGTGAGTCTAACAGGAAGTTGTCTCATCCTTCCCTTTTGTTTCATTTTAGGCGATCTTCATTGTTTCCTATGGGTTCAATCCCACCAGAACACTTGACAGGAGGATTTTTGTCACTGCAAATGCTACAAGGTAAAGTTTAGCAGTCACAGATTCTGTTGTTTTATGCTATTAAAGTGGCTACTATAGTATACTATATATATTATTTCATAACTATTTTCATCTCTCTTTAGTGATAATAAGCAACACTTGAGTTCCAGTGTCCTCTACAAAAAGAAAGAGATTGATGTGAAATATAGCATTTTCATTACCATTGAAAGGTTGGTTTTCTCTTAACTCAAACAAAATATTTTAAGTAATAATTGAATATTTGTGAATTCAAATTACACATTTACAATGTCTGTTCAGCTCCCTCAGCTATAACAATTTCACTTTTGGAAGGAATAATCTGAAGATGCCATTCCAGCAATTAATAAAGGTAAAGTGTTACATAATCTCATTTAGAGCCCAAAGAAATTCAACTTTTTCTGTTTTATGATTTGACCACATTTTTTGACCTAAACAGTATTGCATTAAAAGGTAAATTGGAGACAATTAAACAGTTTGACAAAAAACAAAATACAGTAATTAAGAAATATTGACAAATAGTGTTTGGACTCATGGAGCCATTTACTTCAAAGTGAAGCCATGTGATCTGCAAGTTTGTGTGTGTGTGTGTGTGTGTCTTTGATAGCTATGTTACAGACTGGGGTTGGGTGGGTGGGTGGGTGGGGGGGGGGGGATCATCATCTAGTAACTAAAAGTCAAAATGAATGGTTCTCTACAAGGACTCAGTTCTCATAGTTTATTTTGAAGGGCCATTCAGAAGATAGTTAAGATTGTGAAGGTCATTGTGCTGTTTTTGCTGTTTAACCCCATGTGCTGAAAGGTTGGAGAGCTACAGCACTCAAACTAATTGTAATGATTTAATTTACATCTATTTAATGAACCATAAGATGTGAGATTCCATAGGAAATATGAAAATGAATCTTATGGACTAGGGCCCGACCGATATGCTTTTTTTGGGACCGATACCGATATAAATCTTTTAACAAAGGCCGATAGCCGATATAATGGCTGATAAATCTCCCTCACAAAAAAAAGAAATAAATACAAATGTTCTTAAGATTAAACCCTTCATTCTCTGCCTTTTTGATGCTAACTTATTTCTATATTACACACCAAAGAACTGTCTCAATAACTCACTAGGGTTTCCAAGTAATGCAAATAAGATTTATTTTGCAATCTCAAAAACAACAGAACACACAAACTCAGTCCGTATAAATACAACATTCAAGTTTTTTTGTTTTCTGAGTCTGTGGAGTTTTACACTTTTGTGTTTTGATCCTTTCCAAAGCCGATAGTATTAGGAAAATAAAAATAAGATACGTTAAATGACTAGTATGTGGCAATGTAAAAGCCTTATGTAAAATATAAGGCTGAAAAATACAATAGATTTATTCTATTGTAGAGAGGAATTTCTCTTATTACCGCCCCTACTCCTCTCACAGCTAGGGGAGGAGGGGGGACTCCCTGCACAGCTTTTCATTGCTTTGTTCCCAACCCCCCCTCGCCCGTCCTCAGCTGCGACGTCGGTCGTGTGCCGCAGAAGCGCCGCGAAACGGGGACCGCCTTCATTTGTCGCCCTTATCCTATTCTATAGGCCACATAGGCCACCAAAGCGCTGCGCGCCAGCGCTCCAGCCCGCGCCGTGCAGCGATCATCAGCGTCTGCACTCTTTTTTTTGCAAGCCGCGGGTGGACTGCGTGAGTTTGAAAAGACTGCTGAAGAAGAGCGGAAGAAATTGTCTGAGAATATCCCAGAATGTCTACCAGAAAAAGGCCAATGTTACTTACTTACTGCTCTGCATGACTAAAGGGGAAGCAGTGTGAGCTCTGCATAGAGCGTAATGCTGCAGCAGTTTTATTTTATTTTATTTTTTCAGGTTAACTTTTCAATACGAGGCCACGAGGCACACAATAAACTTAGGGACCATGTTGAGGGGAAACATACTTTTGTCATTGCTTATTTTACCGTTCAACTTACCACTGACACAACAAATATGCTTAAAACTGAAGATTTACCTCCTACTTCCTCATCACCGTCGTCTCTGCTGCTGCTCCGCTGCATGTGTGCTGTGACTGTGGCTCCACCCCCCGAGGAGTGGAGCCACACAACATGAGTTCATAAAGCTGGCGCCATCTGCTGGATAGGTAGCGCAATATCGGCCATATCGGCTGCCTTTTTGGCCGATAGCGATAGTGTTAATGACCCCTATATCGGCCGATATTATCGGCCGGCCGATAAATCGGTCGGGCCCTATTATGGACCTTTAGGTAATTTTGACCAGAAGATTGGAACGTTTTATTGCAGGGATTATGTAACCACTTCATATTAACTGAGAGACAAGAGAAGAGAGAGTCACCTTTAAAACATTTAAGAAGATTTATTTCTAAACGTTTTAAACAAGACTAACTCTAAACTCTAAGTGATGAATGGATATTGGTGTGAATGAGACGTGAGATGGATGGTGTATGTGTGAGTGATGTTGTCATCAGAACTCTCGTATACGGAGAAGCAAGTCTGAGTGTGAAGTGATGTTTTGCTCTTAAGCTATGATCGGAGTTTCATAAACACATAAGACGCCATTTTGTCGCTCCACACATACCCTTAGGATGAGACCTCCGTACAGATCCAGAATGCCAGGTCCTCGGACCTTCCTTTTGGTACCGGAGCTGATGAAACAGCGTAAGCAGTACGGCAGACTGGTCTTTGGATTGTCTCTAGGTAAAAAGCGACAGTTGGTTGACAGCGTCAGATGGACCCTGAGGGTCAGTGAGTTCAGCTTTTATTCTGAAAGGAACCGTTGCTTGGTTGGTAAAGTGCAACAGATTTTATCCAGTTTGTTGGTTCTTTGCTTAAAAAGGAAGTCCGGGTGGCCGGTCCAATACTTCTCTTAGAATGCGGGTGAACTGAACAAAGGCTTGGTTTATGCTTGACGCATTTACTCTCCGCTTGGTGATGCGGCTCGCGGATGGAACGCAATTCACAACTTGCAGCGTTTCTGGTTCATGTGGCTTGTCTCTGCGGTGAGCCAATATTCTCCCAAACTGTAGGGGGCAGCATGGAGCTCTACGGCATGCATCCAACACTAAACCATAGTAGAAGTAAAAATTACTGTTGTTTACAACATGGCATTCCAGCATTTTTAACAGCGTCCTCGTCTTTTCCGGCAGTGCGAACTATTTCTCTCCAAGAATTATTAACAACATGTTGATCACGGTGCTCTTTGAGAGCTGAATCATACAAATGTCTGTATTTACGAACCTCTGCCATACTAGTTCTTGCAAGTCCGCCATGTTTTTCCGCGTCCGACCGTCCGCGTGGTTAGAAAATTTCCTAAATTGTGAAATGGTAAATGGCCTGTATTTGATATAGCTCCTTCTAGAGTCCTGGAACCCCCCAAGGCGCTTTACAACACAATCAGTCATTCACCCATTCACATACACATTCACACGCTGGTGGGGATGAGCTACAATGTAGCCACAGCTTTCCTGGGGTGCACTGACAGAGGAGAGGCTGCCGAGCACTGGCACCACCGGTCCCTCCGACCACCACCAGCAGGCAAGGTGAGTTAAGTGTCTTGCCCAAGAACACAACGACAGCGACAGACTGAGTGGGTCTCGAACCTGCAACCTTCCGATTGCGAGGCGAGCACTTAACTTCTGTGCCACCGTCGCCCCTAGGTGCGCGGTGCGGAAATTTTGGGCCATGCGGGGGCGTGGTTGTTAAAATGACGCAATTTTGCTGCGCGGAGCTGTGCGAACCTCGTGGATGCGTCAAGCATAAACCAAGCTTAAGATGGCGTGGGGACTTTATTTTAATCTGGATGTTTTGATTTACAGTCGAATCAAAGTTCGACAGATTTATAAACACCACAGAGACTATGCTACGCTTCAGAAAGGAAGGTTCCGATTGGATGAGAAAGATAAAATGTGTCATGTGTGTCACGATGTGGGGATGTTTAGAACCCAAAATGCAGATTACCCAGGATGACACCAGGCAGGAGATGGTGTAAAGTAAAAATCCTTTTATTTGGTGGAGGAAACAAAAAATAAATCCAGACAGTGAGCCTAAAGTCCAAAAGTCCAGAGCACAGTTACCCAAAGCTCACTTAAAGCACAAAAAAACAGGAGACCAAAAACTCACAAGGAGCACAAAGACCAAGAGACAAAGCTCAGACAGAGCACTAACAACTGCTGACAGAAATACAACAGACACACTGACAGCAACAATGGACCGACAAACACAGAGTGACAAGACAAGGCTTATAAACAGGAAGGAGTCAATTAGGGAAATTGGCAGCAGGAGTGTGGAGTGAGGGCTGGAGGGAAGACAGGTGAATATAATTATCAAAATGGGAAAACAGAAACTGAGAAGGGCCAAATAAACCTAAAAACTCTAAAACACAAAAACTAAACCTAAAGGCTGCGGGAAGGACTAACACCCACACACCATCACACACAAATGCACTAATATAAACAGGACAAGCACACACACGCACACACACACACACACACACACACACACACACCCTCACTGAGCAGGGGACTGAGAGGCTGGGGGCTACAAGGACACAGAATGTGAATGAAGACCTGGAGGGGCTGGGGAGGAATGAAATGACACGGGACCTGGGAGGAATAATTTTACAGGTTACAACATAAGACACATAACTGAGACGAAGACAAGGACACATGAGGGCGCTATCAGACACAAAAGGGAATCTAGAGAGGGATGGAGGACACCAGGAGGCACAAAAAGGAGGGGGCAGACGCAGACCATGACAATGTGGCTTACATTACGTGGATCAGGATGTCTAGTGCAGCTAGATTAAAGTCATATTACTTATTAAAACTTACTAATCATTACATTGTCATTTCACAGATTGGTTCACATCTTATTATTGGACCAACACTTTGTTTGATTTATTAAAAATAGTTAGAGTTTGTCTTCTTTCTTCTCTTGAGCTGGAAAGGGAGCAGTTTTAGAAGCAAATGTATGACCTTGAGGCAGTCTCATGCAGATTAGTTCTGTGTCAGAGACATCTGAGGAGAGAGGGAAAATAACCTTTGGTGGAATAGCTCCTTCATCACGTCACATAATATAAATAACTAAAAACTAACATTTTGACACCTTGTGTTTTCGTCAAACTCTGATGATAACACAAGGCGTTGAAACTTTTGTTTTTATTATTTGCACCATTAAAATATTTATCCACATTTTAGTGCTCCAGCTGTCCTGCTTCTCTTTCTGAATGTCCTCCAGCTGTAGAGCACCAACCTGAGTGGATGACGCACAGAGAGAGTTATTTTTTGTACATAAAAGTTGTTGTCAAATAATTTGTTTGGTTGTTGCTCTGCTAGAACACCTTACCTTTTGTATTGCCCCAGCTAGATACCTCCCATCCTCCAGTATACAACGCTACAGCAGCCTAAGCTTTTGTTGTTTGTGAACGTCATTTTGAACAGAGAACAACACAATGATTACTTCTAAAAATCTCAGTATTGTTAAACCACACTTGCATATCAACCATTTTTGAGACTTTCTGTTATTACGGTAAATTCTACCTTTACCATTCTGTTCCACAATCCTATTTGTAGAAATAATAATACGTGGGAACACTATTAGCTTCAAGTTCCTTGTCTTCCGAACAGACGAGAATGTGCACAAACATTTGTTTCTCCCTATTCTTGCAGGTCACTAATAGTATCAGAGCACTGAATTTTACTGTGGTCATCAGAGTTCCAATAAAAGTCAGTGACAAAGACATTTGGATGGATGTGGACAAACTGCAGGTAAAATATAATAGAAATGTTAAACCATGTATTAAACCTCAAATGTGGCAGTGGAGTGGATGGAAGGAGGGTTAAACTGACATGAACATGCTCTGATTTCAGCTTTCAGACTGTGAGAAAGACAAAGATGAGGAACCTGTTGTTAAAGATGTAGTTGCACAAATAAAAGAAAAAAAAGTAGTGGTGAGTGTTTTCGTCTTTGTTGAAATAAGCAACAAGAAATGCTGATTTGAGAAGATAAAGTTTGGTTTGCATTTGTTTGCCTCAGGACTGTTCTGTAGCGTGGTGCAGAGTGTTCAGATGCAGCAGGTTCATGGAAAGGAACGAAAAGACGACACACAACATCTCTGCAAACCTCAGCTCTGGATGGATAGAGCAGGTAACTGATTTCCACGTGCTGCTAATCATAACAGGTTATGACTAGAGAAGATATGTGAAGATGTATCTTTTCTTCCAGATTGGACTGCCATCTGCCAAATTTCTCCTGACCAGTACGGCCAGTTTAGAGTATGACACAAACCAGTTCATCTTCTTCTCAACAGCCTCTAATAACACACCTCCTGTCCGCAAGGTGACTGCACATTAAGAGCTGTTATTAAATAATTAGATCTGACATAAATTATACTACTTTTTCTTTTAGATTGAGGCAGAAGTAGAAGTGTTTCCTGAAGTTAATTTCACTAAGGAGATTGTTGGAGGATCTCTGGGAGGGTTGGCTTTTCTGGCAGTGCTTACCGCCGGTCTGTATAAGGTGAGTTACTGAATCTTTTGGGTATACAGACTAAGGCCATTACTAATAAATATATCTATTTTTCTTGTGGAACTAGGACAACTAGTTTTTCCTTTCTTTTAATTAAAAAAATGTATATAACCAAAGTAAAGCAGAGTTTTAAAACCCCTTTCTTTATCTCTTACAGGCTGGCTTTTTTAAGAGCAAATACAAGGATATGATTGCTGACAATGTCGAAGCAGAGGCTGATAAAGGAACTGCTGGTGGTGAAACCATAGATGGATAAAATCAGAACTCACTTTCCCTTAAGCCCTTTCATCTGTTCAGCTGACCACACGATACAACAAACCATCATATCTCACCATTTTCTATCATTTAATGCTTTTATGGTGAAATAAAGAAAAAACAACAGGTGTGTTTCAGAAACCACTCCCTCTGTCACTCATCATCGATAAGAGAAATTGGCCGTGGTGAGGGAGGAGCAGCGATTAAAGCACTGCTAAAAATGGGACTTTCCTGTCTAGGGAAGCTCCGGTGATACCGAGTGAATATATGGCTCACGTTAGGAGATATCTGAAATAAAGTTCAAACTATGTCAATTTTTAGAATATAAGTAAGGGTTAGGCATTATTTATGCTTATGTTAATTTAAAATTTGGCATTAGATGCACCCCCCCCCCCCCCCCCCCCCAAAAGCAAAACCTTTTGTTTTATTTCCTCGTTTGTTGTTTTAAGTTAACTCTGTTTCTAAGACTGTATTTTCTAGTAGAGTATTACATTTTATACAATTTAAAAGAAAAATATCAAAATTTTCATGAATACTGAAACATCCTTACAAGACTACAGCAAACACACAAACACACACACACACATTCGCAAATGCACATGTTTCTTGTCTATTGTGAACATCATTGCAAAGTGTAAACATGTAGTTTATTGAAAAAAAAATCCCAATGTCCACATGTAAAAAACTGACTTCTCTGTTTTTATTTAATTATTTAATGTCCAATCCTGTAAATATCAGTGTGTGTTTTTTTTTTATCTCATAGAAATACAGCCTCAGTGTATATGGTAAGACTGCACATTTGTATCCTCTCTTGCAAAGAATAATGCAAAACTGCTGATGCTTAAAACAGCATTTTTGGTCATTAAGTGTGCTTAAAGAAAAGAAAGTAATTGCTTCAATAGTAAAATTTATAAAACTGAATGAAGTTCTTTGTCCTTTTGTGTCACGTGTAAACCAAAGTGGTTTCACTGGTAGTTACAGGAGCTTGGGCCGGTGACTGGGTGGTTGCTCTAGGACAGTGGTTCCCAAACATATTTAGCCGCGCACCCCCTTCTATGTCCCGACCATGTCGACGTACCCCCCAGCCCCACATCAGGGCATGGCTATGCATATACATATATATATATATATGTATGTATATATATATGTATGTATGTATATATATATATATATATATATATATATATATATATATATATATATATATATATATATATATATATATATATATGTAACATGAGGAAGTATGGGTTTTCTGTGCCAAAGGTCGTATTTGCCCGGCTGGGTCAAAGCTGGGTCACGAAGCACCTTCACCCACAGATTAAGACCTTTGCCGCCAGCAAGTCTGAAGGACGCCACAGCATCCAACACCTGCATCTTCAGAAGAAGGACTTCTCACACAGTCTAGTCATAGTAAAACAGAGTCTAAAGCTTTCTTTGTTTATTAATGCTAAATAATCATTTGATCACTATGCTCATTATAAAGGTTTTTTAATCAAATGAATGATTATTATGCTTTGGGTAATCATAATGAACTATAATGAATCAGTATACTTAATTAAATAATGTTTTTGAAGATGTCTAGCGATGACCTTCACACCTCCTCACACAGGTCCGTATCCACAGTAACTCAAAACACATTTGCTCTGACGCACAACAAGTTTGCTTTGGGAAGAGAAGTGGTTTTGGTAAGTTAGTCAGAACGAGAGTGGGAACGAAAGAGAGAGGAAGTGTGGAACCAACGCCATTGGGAAAGGAGCCCTGCAGGCTCTTTTCTCCCACCACGCTATGTCTGTCAAGCCAGACAGAATAGCTGAAATGCAACCAGCTAACGCAGACTCGTCCCAGAGTCTTTTGATTTCTGAGTTAATTTAAACTTGAGAAAGCGCATCTGCCTAAACGCTTCAGCAACGTGTACCGAGGTCAACCCGGGACTGGACCGCCACACACCTTCGTCTTCTCTGCCAGCCAAGGTGTCTTCTGGATAACACATCCTCCGGGGTCCGGGCATAAAGGGGGTCCTAAGTACGGTGAGGCAGAACACGATAGATAGCGTTCTGATGCTGTTTTTCTAATAAGAACTAAAATTTAATTGCAAAACATAATTTTTCACTCAGATCACCTTTTCGCTCCCTGAAGCAATCTCAGACACCTGCATGCACGCATTCATAATTCCATCATCCTCAAATTTTAGCACATCCAACACAAGGTCTATTTGTGCAAGCTTAAAATATCAACCGTTAAAGATTGTCCAAAAAGGTTGCCAATGTTGATTGTTTTTCCTATGATTGTCATTTCAAATCGTTAGTTTAAATTGAAGGATTAAAACTCTTAAAATTTAAACTTGTCTTTTCATTGAACTGAAACACAGACAAACGGATATGATCGTCAGTTTATCGATGAAAACAACCTTTGAGTCGTCTTATCTCTATAACATTTGGTTATTAATTTGTAAAAATTAATGTTCCAGATTATTATGTAGAATGGTTTATCTTTCATAAAAGAGCCAACAACCATTACGCTACACACACACACACACACACATATATATATACATACATATATATATATATATATATATATATTATATATGTATATATATATATATATATATATATATATATATATATATATATATATATATATATATATATATATATATATATATATATATATATATATATATATATATATATATATATATATATATATATATGCCTTTCTCAGTGGCCTAGTGGTAGAGTGTCCGCCCTGAGACTGGGAGATCAGGGGTTCGATTCCTGGTCGGGTCATACCAAAGACTTTGAAAAAAAGGGACCCAATGCCTCCCTGCTTGACACTCAGCATTAAGGGGTTGGATTGGGGCATTAAACCACCAAACAGTTCCCGAGCGCGGCTTGTCTGCAGCTCACCGCTCCCCCAGGGGATGGGTCAAATGCGGAGAATAAATTTCGCACGCACACCTGTGTGTGTGACAACTAATGGGACTTTAACTTTAACTTTGATAAAAGGTTCATATGGAAGGATAATATAACTAAAATAGAGGAAAGATGCAAGAAAGTAATACATATAATGAGATGTGTGAGAGGATGTGGGTGGGGGGGCTAGTGCTCAGGCGTTAAAAAACATGTACAGTGCAATGATACGATCAGTGATAGATTATGGGAGTATAGTTTATAGTTCAGCATCTAAAACATTGATGAAACGGATTGAAACCATACAAAGTCAAGCATTAAGAGTGTGTTGTGGAGCACTAAAAACTACACCTATTGTGGCACTACAGGTAGAAATGGGTGAGATGCCAATACAGCTTAGAATAAAACAGATAGCTTTGAATTATTGGGCAAGTATACAAGGGTGTGAGGACAATGAACACATGGCAAAAAGGGCACTGAGTCCGTGTTGGGAAACGGAGAAAATGAAGAAGGATTATGGTAGCTGGAAAGTGCAAGATTGGGCAAAAGAGAGTAAGATCCATGATAAAGTACAAATTAAAAAGTTTTTATATACGGTTAATCCAAAATGGATATTTCCGGAAGTGTGTGTTGATTATAGTATTTATGATCAAATGAGAAGCAGTGGGGGAAAAGGAAATTGGGACATGATTACAGAAGATAGATTGAAAAGTTATGAGTCTTTTGTGCACATCTTTACAGATGGATCAAAGGATCTGGTAGGGGGAAAAACCAGTTTTGCATTTGTGGTACCACATATAGGAGTAGTAGTTAGGGAAAGAACTCCATATCATTTATCTGTGTACACGGTGGAGATGATAGCTATCTTATTTAGTCTGCAATGGATGGAACAAAATAGAATTAAAAAGGAATTATATGTACTGATTCATTAACTGTATTAGTGTCAGTTGAATTAATGTCTACCAAGAGTCAAATAGATGTATTATATGAGATATATGAGACCATATTTAGATTAGGGAATTTGGGTACGGAAGTTAAATTTTTATGGGTACCGGCACATAGAGGAGTAGAAGGAAATGAAATGGCAGATTATTTTGCAAAAAAGGCAATAAGAGATAGGAAAATGATAAATATTGCATATAGTGCCGCTGAAATTAAATCTATCATTAAAGCAAATATAATGGAAGAGTGGCAAAGAATGTGGGAAAGGGGAGAGAAAGGAAGACATTTGTTTCATATACAAGGGAAAATAGGAAAATGGAAAAATATAAGACTGAATAGTAGAGATCAAAGAATAATATCAAGATGAAGATTGGGACATACTGGGCTTAATAATACAATGCATCTGATGGGAAAACATCCCACCAGTTTGTGTGGTTGTGGGGTTGGGGGAGAAACAGTGGAACATGTTTTGTGTGACTGCATAAAATATGAGGGAAGTAGAGGGCAACTCAGGGAGAAATTAAGAGACATAGGAGGTGGAGTGATGACTGTAAGGAATTTGTTAAATGGTGAAGAAAGGAATTATAAATTGGTTGTTGAGTATCTAAAGCACTGTGGTCTGTTGCATAGAATTTAGTTTTTTTTTTTTCTCGCTCTTGCTCCGACTCACACTCCAGCACAGTAGGTGGCGGAAATGCACCTAGCAGTTAGATGCCACCCGCCATTAAACTTGAAGAAGAAGAAGAACTCCAGTGCCGGTCGATACTCGCCTTTGGGTACCACTAGCTTTGTCTCGAGTTTGATCTTCAAATGTTCAGCATGTGTTTTAGTCAGTCCATTCCTGTCAGCCCTGGTCTTGTATTTTGAAACTTCTACTCATCTGTCACTCAGGATTACTCACTGCCGCCTTGAGTTGTTATTTCTACTACACGTCGCTCACCGTCCCTTGGTCTCCTCGCTCTCTGCCACTCGCCTGTCACCCTACCTGTTCCCTGCCTGCCTACCAACCTCCTCCGGATCTACAGCAATACCTGCCTTCCTGTCTGCCACATACCTGTTCACGCATCTCAGTTTGGATCTTCAACCTCTGTGTTTGTCCCCGTTTGGCTTCAACCATCCAGCCCAGTCTCTCCAAGGATCTTAATTTTCCCAGTAAGAGAAGTCTCTCCTAAAACCATTCCTGTTTTGGTTCTCTGGTTCCAGGGTTTGTTTACTGTGATTTTATTTCCCGTTTGTTCTTTCGTTCTAGATCTCGGTTCTTCCTGTTCTCGTTTGGAGCAGCGCTTTAAGTTTACTACACGTTCCTTTAAAAAATTTATTTGTAATTTTACTCACCCTCGTCTCCATTTTTGATTCTTTCATGTCCTGGGTTAAATATATACCCAACATGACAAAATGTGATTATAAATATAGTTAATTCTCTACAGATTTGAGATGCAACACCCTTCTTGATTTGTGTTGCAGAATAGCAACAGATGCAACCCTGGCAACCTTTTTTCTTTATATGACAGAAATATACCTTTTTAACCAAGGTTTGCTGCCTCAAATGGTTTGATAAAAAAAAAATCTGCTAATTTAGATAAAACCAAATTCATGTTATTTGGAAAACACAAAAATGTTGTAGCAAGTATAACTTTTGATAGAGTTAACATTGCTTGTTACCAAGCTCTTCATACATTATACACTACTCTTACTCTATCTGACTTCCTGGTGCAGAAGTGTGTGGAATCACATAAATAGCAATTTACAAACAATTATTATAAAACAAAAACAGGCAATCAGATAAATCAATCATGTCAGATACAAAGATCATAGTAATGAACTCTTTATAAAGACCGGACAACTGACATTTCCTAATTTGGTTCCATTTCAAACAGCACAAATACTGTATAAGGCAAGACACAACCAACTACCCCAACAAATACTGAAATTGTTTCATGAAAAGGATGGAGAGTACAACCTCAAAGTCAAATTGAGTTTTAAAACACAGGCTTTCAGAACAATATTAAAACGTTGGTGTATTTCAGTGGCAGGTATTAAAATATGGAATGGTCTAACAGATGGCATA